TTTCGACAATGTGTCATCCTCAGCGAGTACATTCAAACTAAGCAAAAACATTTTTATTAAAGTGTCGTAAGGTAGAGAGTGGAATGAGAAATGTGACAAAATTACAACAAATACTATAATGCTATTTGAAAAAACGTTCGACTGATTTAAATAACGGTGATCTGATCGGAGCGTCCATCGTATTGTTATTTATTTGAATAGAATTCTTGAAATTAAATTGGCAAAGTCATAAAGGTGCAATATACTTAAAACAAACTGTGTTTTATTTCAAAATCTTTGATATAATCTGGTAAATGTTAGAAGAAAAAAACTCTCCACATTTTGAACTCATTTGATTTTAAAAAATGTGTTACATTAGATATGCATGAAATGGGGGCATCACAAAAAGCTTAGAACCAATTTTTAAATGTAAAATGCATTGAATACGTTGATAAATTTCTTCAAAATAATATTCATCTTTAATTGTGAAAATCTTATCTTTTTCCTTTAACCTTTTTCATTAATTTATGAAAATACGCATACTTTAGCTGAACGTGCCTTAGATACCATGAACTTTGATGTGCTCAAGTCTCGACCAATTCGTATTATGTGGTCGCAACGGGATCCTTCATTACGTAAATCTGGTGTTGGAAATGTTTTCATAAAGAATTTGGATAAGAACATCGATAATAAAGCCATTTACGATACATTCTCGGCATTCGGGAACATTTTGAGCTGTAAAGTTGCTCAAGATGAAAAGGGAATGTCGAAAGGTTATGGATTCGTTCACTTCGAAACCGAAGAGGCTGCAAATACTTCGATTGAAAAGGTCAATGGTATGTCGACGATTACAACTACCAAATCTCAAATTGAAGCAATTTCTGAACATAAATGTTGTTGTGGTTATTGCTTAACAATTTTTTCATTATATGTTTGCGATTATTTCCCGATTATTTGTCGATTATTTTAAATTAATTCTTTTCTTTTGTGATTCTCCCCTTAGGAATGTTGCTTAGTGGGAAAAAGGTCTTCGTTGGCCGATTTATTCCACGCAAAGAGCGCGAAAAAGCTTTGGGCGAGAAAAACAAATTGTACACAAATGTTTATGTGAAAAACTTTGGTGATGAGCTCAATGATGAGACCTTGCGTGAAATGTTTGAAAAATTCGGCAAAATTACAAGCCATAAAGTCATGTCTAAAGACGATGGAAAATCACGAGGATTTGGTTTTGTTGCGTTCGAAAGCGCCGAAGCTGCCGAGAATGCAGTCAAAGCATTAAATGGAAAAGAATTGGGTGACGGAAAAGTTCTATACGTTGGCCGTGCTCAAAAAAAAATTGAGCGTCAACTCGAATTGAAACGCAAATTCGAAGAAATCAAAACAGAACGATTGAGTCGCTACCACGGTGTCAATTTATATGTTAAAAACTTGGACGACACAATTGATGACGAACGTTTGCGTCGCGAGTTTGATCCATTCGGTACAATCACATCAGCTAAAGTTATGATGGAAGATGGACGCTCGAAGGTAAGTTTCGAATATTTCTACTTCTACTTCTCTCATTAATCAAATGTGATAATTTTTGTTCTTAGCATTGTTTGTGTCGTGTTAATTTCGAATTTTTATCTATTTTGAATATTTAGGGATTCGGTTTCGTCTGTTTCTCAGACCCCCAAGAAGCCACTAAGGCTGTTACAGAAATGAACGGTAGAATTTGTGGTTCCAAACCACTGTACGTTGCATTGGCTCAACGCAAGGAAGAGCGTAAGGCTCACTTGGCTGCTCAGTACGTGAATCGCATCAACAATGTACGAATGCAACAACTTGGGCATATCTTCCAACCAAGTGGTGCTGGCGGCTATTTCGTGCCAACATTAGCTCCACCACAACGATTCTACGGACCACAGGTCACACATTTACGAAGTCAACCAAGATGGGCAACACAGCAACCAGTTCGTCAACAAGCCGGCGCTCAAAATGCTGATGTTAAAGTATTGCATCCAGCTGCAGGTGGATATCCAAATATCACCGGTGCCACAAATGCACAATATCGACAAGCACCAACTGCCGGTGTTAGACAACAAGCCCAAGGTGGCCAAAGTGCACAAGCTGCCGGAATCCGTAATTCAGCACGACCAATTACCGGACAACAGCAAGCAGTTCAGGTAAGCAATTCATTTACTATGATTTCAATGTCTTTCAGATAGTTGTTAATGCGATTAAATCTTATCGTCTAACCTTTTATTTTAAAGGGACGTCCAATGCCATCAGGTCCAGGTGTTCCACAGGCAAATCAAGCTCGTGCCGCCAACTATAAATACACAGCAAACATGCGTAATCCACCAACTCAAAATGTAGCAATGGTTCCACAGGCAGCTCCTGTACAAGCTGTCCATGTCAAGGGTTAGTTTTAATTTTGTTTCTGTTGCCTCAATGTTTTTAGTTCAAAATTTAAATTAATATTAAATTTATTGTATTTAATTTGAAAAAAATAGGTCAAGAGCCATTGACTGCATCAATGCTGGCTGCTGCTCAGCCAGCTGAACAAAAACAAATGCTAGGTGAACGTTTGTTCCCTATCATAGAATCGATGTATCCACAACTGGCCGGTAAAATCACCGGTATGTTACTTGAAATCGACAATTCTGAATTGTTGCATATGCTAGAGCACAACGATTCATTGAAGAACAAAGTCGATGAAGCTGTTGCCGTGCTTCAAGCTCATCAAGCCAAGCAAGCTGTTACATCTGGCGGAAAAATGGAATAAGTTTTACACAGTTCGCAAGCATATTTTGAAGCAGAACGACAACCAACAAATTGTTTCTTTTTCCTCTGTAGAACCAATTTATAATCGCAATAAAATACATTCCGTTGCGTTGACAAAATTAATAATGATAACAACAAAAGTACACACAAGATACCAAAATCAATTCTTACACACAATACAAAATTACTCTGTCCACTAAGTCCAACTCTACATAAAATTAGAGATAAAAGGAAAGAGACGTTTTTGCGAATACCATCAATAATTTGTGAAAAAAATTTTTTGATTCAACATTGTTTTTGATATATGGACAACCCCTGTCCAACATCATAGAACAATTTGAATTCAATGTTTCGAAATGGGTGCATTGAATACCATCAAAACATCATCAGGCGACTTTAATCAAGATAAAAAAAATCTTTATCCTTTATGCGATCCAATGAAATCGTAAAACATCCTTTTATTTTTTTCAAAAATTCAAACCAACCAATAAAATTATTATTTTATCTAAAAATTATCTGATTGAAATGAAAGCTCAACAAAAATGCAATTTATTTATCATTTTTCGTTTGTTACAATTTAATTTTGTAAACATTATCAATAAAAGGAAAACACAATGGAAGATTATAAAATCAATAAGAAAATAAAACACTCAAGAAAGGAATAAAACAAAACATCAGCAAAATAAAAAGTGAATAAAAGTTTAAGTTTAATTGAAAAATAAAAATAAAAAAATCCATCCAAAATCGATTGTAGATCGACCTTTGGAGAAAAAAAAATTGTAAAACATCAAAATTGTCCAAAAAAATGAGATGAAACATTGATTCAGCATAAAAAACTGCACGAATTAGAAAAGTTAAATAAGAAACAAAAAAAAACAAATAGGAATTCCTTTTTAAATAATTCGAAACCATCTCAAAGTTGCAAATGACTGAAAATAGTTATATCAAAAAAACACCATACCGTTCATAAAGAGAATAAAAGTTAAAAAAAAAATGAAAAAGATAAAAGTAAAAAAAAACATGAAACACGAAGGGACTAGAAGAGTAGAAAAATTTGTTGAAATAATCAAATGACAATGAATTTTCGATCATTTCATGTTACAACATTTTTCAACATTTTCAATTTTCCAGAATAGTCACATTTCTCTTTTTTTTTATTTTTTTCGTTAATTATTACAACTGTTTGTAACGTAAAATTTTTAAATTTGATAAATTTCTGTTCAATGTAACCTTTTTTCTTTTTTTTTCCAAAAAATAAATACACACGAACCACAATTCACATGAAGTTTGATTCAATGTTTTGAAATCTTACATTACAGGTATGTTTAACGTGTATATTCAGCTGTATTCCAGTATTTTCTACAAATTGTGTTTACATGATTTTTATATAAAAAATAATAATAATAAAATGCCGGGTTGAAATTCAAACATTCCCATTAATACACTCGTGTATGCTTTATGCCACGACATTTTCATTCGTTAGATGGATAATATTCAATTACGTATACAGACGTCTTGTTGCATGACGTTGTTGTTATTTTCTTCTCTCTATTTGCAGTGTACAAAGTGAAATTTCAGATTGTTTCATTGTCCGCGTGATATGAGATTGTCGCGTGAATGTGAACCACCTCAACAAAATCCAACGTGTATATGTATATGGAATGTTTTAATTGCGATATTATTTCAATTTTCAAGTAAAATGTAACTTTATCTATACATGTGCACGAAGCGCGACGATGACAAGCAACGTTGATAGTAGCGCCATTGTGCGGTTGCCAGCGAAACTAAAAAATAGCACAAATTTCGATCGCATAAATCAAAAATGGTACAAATTTGTGCCACCCAACATAAACTGTGGCAACCATAATGAAGTTGCTGCGTTGTCCAGCTGTCATTGTCGTCGTGCTTTGCATGTACATAGTTTATAGAATCCAATATTATTAATTTTTTAAAGAAGTTTTAAGAAATATTATCTATAAAATAAGTTAGTTCAATCAAAAGTATACCGATTGGAATTATATCGTATACCACATATTATAGTGTTTGTACATTAAGACAATCAAGAGAAAAATAACTTTGGAATTTTCATGTCATTCTTCATTCACCAATGTGCTGATTGCAATTGCATTCCAGTGTAAGTGGTGATTCCTATTTTATCGATATCATACGTTTGATAAACATCAAGCTGATTTCGATGAAACCAATCGTCGTCGGATTTTAGTTGACGTTTTCAATTTTGACGCAATATATACAAATATTTACTTAAAAAAAAATCACAAAATTTATTCTGATCAGTATCTGATGGTATGATATTTTTGTTCGGTGTTTATGTGACAGATTATGAATTTTTTTCTTAAACAAATAGCAGACTTTGCTGAAAATTTGTCGATGTTTGACAGTTCAATCCAGAATAATTAGAATTTTTGTTTTGGAATTATCATTCGTGTGGTAGTAAAATGGCATACTATTCCATTACTCTACCATTCCTGATCCATTCCTTCGATTCATTTTCCATTGATTAATTTCCATTTTTTCCATTCTTTTCTTCTGATCAACTCTTAGGTAGTAAAATGGAGTCAAAAGTTTTGGAAGTTGTAAAAGTTATTCGGACGTTATTAACATCAGCAAAAAATGGATTGCACATCCAAGAAATTATCGACGATTATAAACAAATAGAAGGAAAACCGATTCCATTAAATGCACTTGGATACAATACGTTGGAAGATTTTTTACGTGATACAAATCAATTTGCTTTAATCGAAACGAGACAAGGCACTATGGTAATTTCAAAACCGTTCAAAGATTTATACGCAAATCAATCGATACCGAATAGTCCCAGTAAGGGTAAAAAGAAAAGCATCATGATACCACCGCAACGAGCACTACGTTCAACAACTGAAAATCACTGGAACGTTACTGCCTATTCACAAGCCTATACAGAAATGCAAAACAGATCAGTAAAAAAAGCATTTACTCATCCGGCCAAATTATTGCAGGCGACTTACAGCAATAGCGGATTTTATCGACCTATTTTAAAGCAATCAAATATAAAACAAGTGCCAAGAGATGAATCTCAAAATTCCACAGCTAATGCTTTAGAGACCATAAGTAATTCGAACAATATAACACCGTCAGTAGCTCGTTCGTTCCAAATACGAGAGCAAAGTAATCATCAGAATAACGTGGTATCCAATACTGCAACACAGATTGACCGAATATCAAAAAAATCAATTGATTTACCATCATCAACAAAAACTAGTGTGCAATCACGCTTGGAGATTCAAAAAAATATTTTAATTGACGTACCAGATTCCGTTCCATCTCAAGCGACAACAGTACCACAATATAGTAGTTTAAATGGTTGTGAGAGTGATCAAAAGGTGAGAACAGTTTTTTTTGGGTTGATGAAGAAAACTTATTACTTACTAAAATGTATGCTTGTACTCCCCCAACAGATGAAAAACGTCGCATCGGAAAGTTTTGACATTCGTCCATTTATTCATGCAGTTACTGCATACTGTCGTCAAAAAGGATATGCAGAGCCGACGTACACATTCAGCAGAACAAAAGCACGAAAATTCACCTGCAAAGTAACTGTTGGAATGGCTATTTACGCCAGTTACCCAAACGAATTTAATACACAAGCAGAAGCTCAAGAAGAGGCATCCCGTATCGCATTTGAAAATATCAAAGAGATGGAATATCGTGAAAAATACCCCATATGCATGGATTCAAGTGCTGAAATTGCCAACAAGATCTTTGAATGCATAAGTGAAAATGGTGTTTTCTTGAAATTTATTCCACAACTTTTTCAGTGAGTTTTTTGCTATATTTTTGCTTGTTAGAAATAGATAGTGAAATAAATAAAAAAATAATTTCCAGGGAAAAATACGATGCCATTCTTCCTGATGGATGGATGGATGTTATTGAAAATAGTCGCCAGATGTTTTCAATTGCCAAAGATGCGTTGATGGATCGGGTGTATCCCAATATTACAAATCAAAAGAGTGATAACGACTCAGCCGAACAAAAGTTAAATGAACTGGAGGAATTGATCTTGCCATTCAATGAAAAGCATTGGAATGTTTTCATTACATCAGTCTCGTCAACCGTAGACATTTGGGGGCGACTTATTGGTGCTGAATACTCTGTAAGAGATTTTAAATACAAAAAATATTAGCATTATCACTTTATTTTGTCTTACCAGGCCAAATTGGATTCAATTTTGGATGATATTGAAACGGAATTAATAGCAGGTGGTTCAAAGACAATATGCAACAACTTGACAGTTGGTAAATATTGCTACATTACAAATCCAGATTGTTATCGTGTTCGTATTGAGAAAATCGATGAAAATCAGAAAATGGCTTTATGTTTCCTTATTGATTACGGTGATGAAGAATGGTGGGCTATAAATCAAATATACGAAGGCGATGCCAAATTATTTTCATTACCAGAGCAAGCAATTCGATTTAGCTTATTCAATTTGGAAGATTTTGCCGAGAATCGACACGCCAAGCAAGAAGTGGATGAGTTTTTAGCTGGTTAGTTCTAAGTGATTCTTTATAGTTTTAAAAGCATCAACATGTTTGTTCACTCCTTTCTATATCGAATTTTCTTAATCAATGGTTTTAGGAAAAACTCTAATCGCTGAAGTAAAGTCAACACAAGCCGAGTACTTGGCTCAATGCGAATCAAGCGTGGATGCTAAAATTAAGGCAGTTTTCTATGATACGACGTCCGATGAGGACGTACAGTTGAACAAAATGATTTTGGAAAAAATTTGCGAAAAAATTGAAACACCACAATTGCAACGTTCTAAATGGAATCCGGTTATTGTGTCGCATGTTAGCGATTCAGGCGATATTTATGTGCAATTATCTAGCGATAAAGGAAATACCGTTCATAACATCAAGCAGCTTATACATAGATTGACTCAAAATGGAATTAGCAATCAGTTTACACGTACAAAATCCACAAATAATGACTACACAGCAAATGATTTGTATTTAGTTCAAGAAACCAGCAATTTAAAATGGTATCGGGCAGCAATTTTACCAACCAAATCTACCAATAGCACAACAGAGCTATGCAAGTATGTAGATTACGGAATGACCAAAAATGTTCCATGCGAAAATATCTATCGTTTGGATTTATTGAGCGCTGCTCTCAATAAATATCCACATCAAGCAATCCATGTACGACTAAACGATGTTACCAATTATAATCCGAAGATTGTGGCCCGATTAAGAGGACTTTTGTGTTCTGGGGCACCCGTCCTTGCTCAAATTGCAAATTGCAGTTCGATGGTGCAAATGGTAAATATTTATGAAATAAATTTAAAAAAAATATTGCTGTTATGTTTGAACAATGTTGTACACAATGCTCATTGAACCCAAATAATATTATATTATTATTATTATTATCATAGTGGACGTTTTTTCTCTTTCAAAGAATCGTTTACAACTACAAAATTTCAAATTTAAGCAATGTTGTTCAATCTATTCCAAATTAATGTGGTCGTTGCTCTATTATACATAAATTCATTTTTATCGTTTGTAATTTTACTACTATTTTGTTATACTACTTGTATATATTTTTCTATGGATATTATCAAAACTCCGCAATTATAAGCATTTTTTCTGATCTACTCTAGGTAAATATTTGCAAACGCCTACCAGAAAATAATATTCTATGTAATATCAATGACACTATTCGAATGGAACAAGAAATCGAAAGGTAATGAGTTCTTAACATTTAACATAGAATTGAACTAAATTTACATTTTGTCAAAATCTACGATCAGTTCGCTTGATTTGCTGCTTGAAAGTGAAAATACAACGGTTATCCAACTTATGTCACCAAAAGAAAGTTTGGTAATTGGAAAAGCAGAATTCCGTTTATATCCGGAGCCACCACTCGATAAATACTTCAATGTGATTGTTGTGACAGCACCAAGTCCATCTAATTTTTTCGTAAGGCCTTGTCGAGAGGAAAGTGGATTTAAAGACATGATGTTATCACTACGGAGCTTTTGCGATAGTTTCAATCAAAAGATAAACATAAGTGATGTTCAAGTGAATCAATACTATGCTGGTCAACTTCAAGATGGTTATTTTTACAGGTATTTTTTTTTTAATTCACTGTGAAAATTGTACAATATTTTTTCGTAATTTATCAAAATTATTCAAAAACTCATTCCATGTTACAGAGTAAAGATCGAGAATATCTTACCAGCTGACACGGTGTGTGTTTACAAATGTGACTTTGGCGATATCAATTTTCTAAATACAGATGCATTGCGACCGCTTGGATCGGAGTTTAGAAAAATTCCACAGCTCGCAATTCCGGCAAAAATGCACGGTAAACATAACAAACAGTTCTTTTTGAACTTTCCCGCTAAAAAAAACCTTACATTCTTTCTAATAAATGTTTCCCCGTTTCAACACAGGCATTCAACCAAAAAATAATGTATGGAACAACGATGACAGGTAATATTATGAAAAAATTATATAAATATTTTTAAGAAATTCTCATTTGTACTATATTATTATTTGACAGTGCATTTTTCCAGAAGCTAACCGTGCAGAAACAATTTGCAACTGAGATCAAAGCCATTCGCAAGGAACCGAATCAAAACTACGTTTTGGAAGTGGTGCTAATTGATGTTTCGACTCCTCTCGTTGATATCAATATAAATGAAGAGTTGATTAAAAATCAACATGCTAATCGTCTTTAAGATTATTATAATAACATGTATACATTTAGGGTTCGTTCCCGAACAACGTGCGTTCTTTAAAATATACTTCATAAGCGCCATCTGTTTATAAAATACACAGGAGCGAACTAATATCAGATATGTTTTAAAATCAGCCATTGTTATACTTGACGCCGACGAATAAACTTCTCTCAGCTAAAAATGGTACGTATAAAAATAAAAAAAGTATTCAATATTTGACAATTTCTTTTTGTCTAGGCCTCAAACGTGAATGAGAATAAAAAGTTTGATGGATATATCGAAGGGATTAAAGAGTATAAACGCAAAAAAGAAGAAAGAATCGAAAATTTGGAGGATGAAATAAAAAAACTGCGAACCGAAATAACTAATTTGCAAACCGAAAATAACACTAAAAATGGGACCATTGGCACGTTGCAAACCGAAACGGCTAATTTGCGAACCGAAACGGCTAATTTGCGAACCGAAATAACTAATTTGCAAACCGAAAATAACACTAAAAATGGGACCATTGGCACGTTGCAAACCAAAACGACTAATTTGCAAACCGAACTGACTAATTTGAAGGGAGTCGTGCAAAATTTATTGGTTATGTACAACGTATGCACAGATAATGTGCCACCAATCATATGTGCATCAGATCAAAATCGGATGATACCAACGGCAATAGAATTTGTGTGTACCTCGAATGAATGCAGGTAAAATTTCCAATTGAAAGTAATTTTATTGGTTGTAAGAAATTGTATTTTATAGACGAGTTGGCAAGCGATCTGTAACCCAAGAATTTCAAACCGTTATAAAAAGTCTCCAGCCACCAGCCCAAAATATAAGAACTTTATAAAAAATAAATTGAAAAACCGTAATATAACCTTCAAACAAAAACAATTTTAACATTCTATCTAAAAAATGTTTCTCCGTTTCAACATAGGCATTCAACCAAAAAATAATGTATGGAACGACGACGACAGACAAATTTTTATTTATATTATATGTATTCCTCCAGAAGCTAACCGTGCAGAAACAGTTTGCTACTAAAATTAAAGCCATTCAGGGAACCGAATCAAAATCTACGTTTTGGACGTTTCGACTCTTCTCATTGATATCATTAAAAATCCACACGCTAAACGTTTTTAAGATTATTATAATAACATGTATACATTTAGGGTTCGTTTCTGAACAACGTGCGTTCTTTAAAATATACTTCAAAAGCATCATCTGTTTATGAAATATACTTTATAAAATATCATCAACAACAAATCAAACATATAAATAAATAAATAAATTTGTAAACATTTTATTCATGAAAAATGTCTTTATTGTAAGCTTCGAGCTCTTGTCTTATTTGTTTAATGATTAGTTCTTTAAAGTCTTCGCACAAATCGGGTGTGGACGGAATGTGTGACGGAAAAGATTGGTCAACAAAAACAACTGATACACTAGATTCATCTTGCAGCAAATAAACTAAAGTGTATAGGCATCGGTTTACGAATTAATGTTTAAAAATTCAAACTTCAATATTGAAGATTACAATGGCCACACTATTGTCAAAATAAACAAGCTCCAATACATTCATTTGTCGAAATGATTATTTATATAAGTTTTAATCATGGCTATGAATAAATTCATGCATTCTCGGAATGTTTATAATGTACCGGCCGATTTTGCGAAATTAGCAGAAGAATTTGAAGAATTCAGATTAATAGTCAAAACTGTAAGTGAGGCATTTCAATTTAAATAGCTGAACCGATGATGATAATAACTCTTTTTTTAAAATATATTTTCATTAGAATGAAAACGGAAAAGTTCATATTAATTTTAAAGATGAGAACGCAGTTAAAACACTCACAACATGTCTTTTAAAACGAGATTTTAATTTGGTCGTACATTTACCACCAAAGCAGTTGGTTCCAACGTTACCATTGCGCCTAAATTATATTTTATGGCTTGAAGATATTGTGAAAACATTTCGTTTTGAAAATGTGATTGGCCTCGATATCGGTGGGTATCTTAATTTTTAAATGATTATAATCAAAATATCGCCGCCGTGAGCTTTATTGCTGTTATGCCCAAAAATTAAATTCTTTAAAAACAATCAACAGTGAAACTAACGTTCATATTTTATCTATAACCTGCAATAATTACTAATAATTATTAATATTAATAAATTGTATACAGGTTGTGGTGCATCATGTATATATCCTTTGTTGGCAACCCGAATGAATTCAAATTGGCGAATGTTTGCCATTGAATTGAATGAAGAAAGTGTCAAGTATGCGCGAGATAATGTAAATAAAAATGGCTTAAGTGATCATATTCGAATCATCGAATGTGCTTCAAATGATGATCCACTTGATTTATTTCACCAACACAAGGATTGGGATAAATTTGATTTCACCATGTGTAAATATCCTCCACTTCCATTATATGTTTCCAATTATTTTGATCATTTGCTGATTATTTCTATTTTTTTCCCTAGGTAATCCGCCATTCTTTGAAGACGAACACGAATCAGACACCGTCAAAAAACGACAATCGGTTAAACGAAAGCCAGCAAATAATGCCAAAACAGGTATCTCATGTGAATTGACAACAGCAGGGGGTGAAGTTGAGTTTGTGAAGAAGATGATTAAAAGAAGCGGACAACTTAGGAATGTGGTGAACGTTTTTACGACAATGCTGGGTCACAAGACGAGTATGCAATCTATTTTAAAAGAATTGAAAGATCAAAGAATTACTAATGTATGCTGTAGTGAATTTTGCCAAGGATGGACAAAACGATGGAGTGTCGCTTGGACATTTCGAAATGACATACTTTTACGTAGAGTTCCAATCACTGGGCAAACACAACCGAAGCCACCTCATCGTTTTTTACCAAATGATATCGATGATCCAGATATTGCTACCAAAAAACTGTGGTAAGGGAAAAATCTAAACGCAATCTGCTGAATTGCTTTCTTACTGCATTTCTCACTAATCGATTTCAACTTATTGTTTTCTTCTTTCTTCAAAAATTTAGTCAAATTCTAAGTGAACTAACCGATGTCAAATTAACCAATCGCGAGAGAATCGAGTCTGGGCAACGGTTCCAGTTTATAGCGATTACTGATTCCTGGAAAAATCAAAGACGTAAACGTCGTCAACAGACTAGAGAACAACAAAAACCTGACAATAAAGAGGAAAAAGGAGTAGATCTAGAGATTATAAAGAAGCGAATCAAACTTGATCAAAGTCAAAACGAAGATCATGTGCAAGAGGCGGGGTATACTTACTTTAAAAATTACTATTCCATTATTGAAGAATTCTATCCATTCTTCCGATTATTTTTCCATTACATCCATTTCAAAAAATCACAATATCAAAATCTATTTAGTATGAAAGTAGTAAGGGTTTGATCACATATACACACATAAATTAAAATCAATTTGCAAATGAATTGAACGAAGCTGCGTTAGCAAACACTTTGCTGAAAAAAATTGAGATTTGATAGTAGTAATCATCGTTGGATACACACTATCGGATTAACGTTGTATCGACAACATGGCTCAGCACACGAAACAGAGATAGAGAGTGAAAGAGAGGGAGAGACTACTTGGCACATTGTGGTGAGTAGATTTGAATACATATCATGTTTGGTCACTGCGTTGGCATCACAAACACAAATCGCCTTCAATACAAAGCGATGTCACACCGTTCAGTTTAGTTTTGAAGCAAGAGCACCTTTCGTAACTAAGTTATTCAATTTTCATATTGCATACAAAAGCGCAGTAGCCGATTTTTGTATTGCATTTTTATTTTATTCAGTAAATGTGTCGTATGACATATACTATACCGCGAATCAACAATACAATGGTTGCAAGCAAACAATTGTTAAACATGATATACAAATCATTGTGTATGATACAGGATATTCCAATCAATGGTGATTTCAATCGGCTGCTCTTTTCAATCGTGCTGCCCATTTACGACAACGGGCACATTAAATGAATATCCTCCTCGGCCGTCTCCCGTAGCATACTCCGTCTAAGTGTAATTTACGTGTGTGAGTAATTGTCGTTTGGTTTCATTCATTGTAGACCGATTGATATATTAATGGTGATATTTTTTTTCTTTCCATTATTTTTTAATTGATATAGGTAGTGGCCTTGGCACCAAGTGCTATTCTATAGTAAGCATTTTGTTTTTCTTTTTCTTCCACAGCAGAACGCGATTCACAACACTACTACCAAATCTCAAATTAAAGCAATGTTGTTGCAAGTGTGTGACGTTGCTCTTAAACTATACATATTTGATGTTTCCATTACTTCCATTACTTCCATTACTTCCATTACGTTCCATTACATATTGATTAATTTTCATTATTTCCATTCTTTTTTTGTGATTAACCCTAGGCAAGAAGAGGTCATGATGAACAGATACTCAAGTCCTCATTTACATATTGATGTTACCGTGGAGTTAAAGACTCTTAGCGAATTTAAAGCCATCGTCGAAGTTAAACTGACCTATCTTAATGGCATTGGCGGTGTAAATGGAGTCTACGAGCTACTACAGTTTATTCAAAATAAGTGGTGAACTTGCATATTTTATAAAAAGAAGTGCAATCAAACTACTTTACTATGCTACTCCATTATTATATTTAATAAATATTATTTATGAATGCAAATTATAATAAGTTTAATTTTTGAAACATCGTGTTTCTTTACTACGGATTGTAAACAATGCAATCGAGAATCATATTTTTGGAATACGTCCCAAGGAAAAGTACTATCAAGATACGTTACAAATGTTGGCAATGATTTATCCTGGGCAAAAATCGCTACCCTGGGCAAAATCAATAGTATGGCCCAAATAAGAGATCCATTTTCGGAAAAAATTTTGCAGTTACACTTTCAAACAAAATGATGTACACTCACCTACACTTAATTAAAACCAATTGTTTAAAAAAAAAGTTATAGCAAAATTATGAGTATACAGCCGTTTTTTTGTTCATTTTAGGAGCTTTCCCTTCATCGAAAATACCAATTTATTACCAACGAACGACCTGAGTAAACATGTAAGATCTTTATTAACCGGCGCTCTTTGAGACAGTCTTATTATAAAATAGTTCAATCAACTAGATGAATAATAGGTTTTTTTTAATTAATTTAATAATTTGAGTTTCGTTAAATCAAAAGAATACATTTCCCTTGACCGTATTATCAATTAATTATCACATAACTGTTGAGTTAATCGTGATTTAAATCGATTTTGATTGAGTAAATAGTGCTTAAAAGTATTCTCGATGAATCACCTTCGACTGGAAACGACGATGAAAAGAATTAACCAGATTATGACGACGAAACAATCATATTTAAATCACACTCTCACTCCTCAGAGATGTAGATGATGTATTATTCAAAAAGAGGGAAAGTCTTACAATATCTTCAGTAATTTCTCTTGAAGAATGCCGGAACATTTCCCGAAAATACTTCTTTCGGAACGATCGTTTTCCTGGAAATGTGAGAATTTTTCCAATAAAATTAACCGAATTTACATGAACGTTCGTTCGGAAAAATGTATTTTCGGGAAAGGTTCCGGCATTTTTCTTGAATGCAAAAATTATAAATAAGGTTTTTTTGTGAGTTTGAAAATATTTTTTTGAATGACACTTATGTTATTAATTGTCTCACATCACATTTTCTGTTATCCTTACAAAGCAATATTGCCCTTAAATTTCATCGAAGAAAGATTAATCATCATGATTAATTCAAACAATTAGAAAAAAATGTATTGAACCAAAACATTATCATATTTGGTTTGTTGTGTTCTAGGGAAATTTATCTGTTCGCAAATATATATTATTCGATGGTACATATACTATGCATATTTTACGAATAATGCATTGAATGTACGTGTTTTGCGAATATTTTGCGAATATTCGCAGTGAATATACGCAAAATATACGCAATATTCACAGTGTTTTGATTGAGATAAAAACCCCTAGGTTGTGTTATATTTATAACTTGCTTTTAGCACCTTTTGGTTGGATGTCAATGTAAGGTTGTAAGCATGGATAAAGTTCTTTACTGGATTTGAAGACAGCCAGATCCGAGATTAATTTTGTGTTAGGTCTTCTATCAACTATTGTGGTAGTCGATGTTGCATCTTTGATTTCATTTGTATTTCCGACACCACCTTCGGCCGTTGAAATAATATGAATGGAAAGTGTTGATCGATTTGCTCCAGTTGACAAAATGTAGCACTTATAGTATTCTAATAATTCCGACTTTGTAGCATTGCGTAAAATAGCAACTTCTTTTTCCGCACGATCGAAATGATACTGCTGCAACGAGATCTCATTTAGAAATTTGTTGAAAAGAGTTGAAAGGCGTTTTGGTTTTTCCAACTTTTGCGCTGAAAGAGCTTCTTTATGCCGATTAAATTCTTCGTCAGACATTTCTTCGATTTGTTTCTGGAATGAAAAAAGTAATCATAAAAACAGTAAAAAAAAAAACAGTATATCACGGGGGATGGCAGTCCCCCAAGTGACGCGATACCAACATACATATGAAATATATGTATATTTGCGTCACTCTATACTGTAAAGAAATGAAAATCGATACCGCTGACTTTTGGAAAGGGGTTTTTGCATATTTTAGTAGTGCTCGGGCACCAAATTAAGAATCCGCAAAAAAATTAAAAAATTTCAAAATTTGACCGCTAGGTGGCGTTTCAAAAAAAAGGTTATATAAAAAAATATAAAAATTGTTTGTGTATTTGATTGCAAGCGTCACTAAAAATTTATATCAGATCATTTTCAGATTTGATGTGCAGTATTGCGTCACAGTGAGAACTTCCAAAGAAGTGTTTTTTACTTATATTAAATACAATAATATTTTTTATATGTGTTTTTAAACACGTATATTCACACATTTTTGCTCGTGAACAAATTTGAAACTTTTTTAGTTCATTATTACGTTGAAAAGTGTAATATAACGTTTTGACCTGTTTTGGTGGTCATTTTCGTATCAAATGGAACGGAGATTATGTGCATAGTTTCCAATTTACGAATTCCAGTGGAATTTATCAACTACATTCACTTAATAAAATTTATATACTCACCATCATTGAATCTAGGAATATTTCAATACGTTCCTCACAATAAATCGGATGTTTGACCGATTGAACAATGAAACGGATACCTTGTGCTCCATTTGCTTTACGAGATGCGCAAAAAACAATATATCCCAGTTGTTCTTTTGTACGCAATGTGTTGTAACATGGTTCACAAAGAATTTGTGAAACCTAAAAATAAAAATAAAATATTTTGATCTCCGAATGTTAATCTATTTGTTGTACTGTTATTCTTACCAGATCAATAAAAACGTTGGCGGTGTCACTTTGCATGCCACACTGAAGATACAGTTCGGTACATGAACTTTTATGGAATTCATTTTCTGTTACAAATCGATATGATTCTTGATTGACCAATTTATATTCTCTCTTCAAAAGCAATTGACGGGATAGCAATGGTAGTGTGTTTGCATTGGTTGTTTTTAATTTTTGTTCGACAATACTGGCCAATGCTATGGCTTTCTGCTTATTAACATTTCCATGAATCAAGCATTCCACATGCATTCGAGATAAAAAGTCCTTAATGTATTGTTCCAAACGCTCCACTGTCACCACTGAAATATAAGATTTAAACACACAAAATTATGATTAAATGCAATTATGAACTCTTGACATTTCATTTACATGAAACAGCATCAATCAATTCTTGTTTTGTCCAAGCATGTTCCGTAAGAATGAGTGCTAGATAGTATACTGCATGCTGATATGGTTGTTCTGCGTTGAAGTTTTTTAAGGCGCGATGCATTTGCTCTTTGATTACTTCGAACCGTTTTGGACAAAATTCAAAATTGAACAATTGATCGATGACTTTACTGAGTAAAATCTGCTGTTTATGACTGTATCCGCTTATTGATAACTGAAAATTGACAGGAACAAAAAATCAATCGAATGCTTAATAACGAAAAGTGAATATTATTTGTTTAATAAAATATGAATGTTTAAAAAATAGTTTGACCAAAATAACTTACACTAATACCATTTGATGTGTTGCTCACTCCAAATCGAAGGCCCGCCAAATCAGCTTCATATAAATATTCATTCAGCTCATCTTTGAATAACTGAACAAACATGTGTGTCAAATTGCAATTGAGTGGATCAGAATACGCCATTGGACTAGAGAAATCAAAATTCATGATGGTTTTCGGTTTACGAAATTCTGTGTCTTGTTTGAACCATACACGCATGATTGGGTCATCACGTAAAATGATTGGATATGGTTGGATTTCTGATTCACACGTACATAATTCGAAATCAGTTGGTATGAATGGATTTAGCATCGGAAAATTTAGATTTTCATTTAGGCCACAATTTTTCCAGTCCTGTTCAAAGAAAAAATATAGCGTTGAATTGCAGGGGATATTATTAATTAACATACATTGCTGTTAAATAGTTTGAAATCATCTCATAAGTAAGAAAATTCGACATTTTACCAATAATAATTTGGCAAGCTTTTCAGTAAAAATTCTTAATAATTAAAAATAAAATAATAAAAAAAACTTTACCACAAAAGAGAATTTGGGTCACTTTTTTCAACAATGTTTCGGGATTTATAATACTTGATTGAGATTTTAAACAATTGTTTTTTAATGTATTCAATTGTATTTTGAAAATCTACAAATTCAAATGCCGATCGCATAAAAATTCCAAACTTGCAAATATTCTTGAATTTTTGGATTAGCCACATTGAGTACGTGAAATAGAGTAGTTAGGAATTAATAAGTATTTAAGTCTCAAAATATTTTCTTTTAAAACTTAAGTTGTTCTCAAACTTTCTAGCGGCAGTGTAAGTTAACAAGTCTATTGGTGTTCAAATCGAATTATAGTTTTGCGTTTTGCGATATCGTAATAAATTTTTATTAGGATGATAATTATTATGTTCTTTATCGTTATTAGGATCGGATCCTAATAACGTTATTATGATTTTATTAACTTATCATGATAAAATTATAATAATGTTTTTAGGATTACATCCTAATACTTATTATGTTTTATCATAATATTTGTTAGGATTGATCTTAATAAATACCGTGTTCACTTGATAGCATATTGTTATTCAGCCAAAAACAATTTTCAACAGATGGCGCTACTTCAGACAAGTGAAGTGTCCACGGTATTTATTAAGATGAATCCTAATAAATATTATGATAAAACATAATAAGTATTAGGATGTAATCCTAATAACATTATTATGATTTTATCATGATAAGTTAATAAAATCATAATAACGTTATTAGGTTCCGATCCTAATAACGATATTGGTGGGAATGCTCATTATTATTAACTTATCATAATATTTTTTTATTACGTGCAAAACTATAAATCGAATAACCTTACCTCAACAACATCGTCAGAAATTGACTCGAATCGATATTTAGTCCCATACCTGAAATTCCAGAAAAAAGCAATTATATAGGAATATTTTATAAAAAAATTGAGGCCAATAACAAATGAAATGTCAGAATAAAAAGTCGACTTGTAATTTGAGTCCATAAAAGTGGAACACGGAGTTATTTTACATAATTGATAATTTATTCTTTGTAATATACTATAGATTTTTATTTCAAGTCGGATTTTTTTTCAAGCTCATTCAATTTATATATTTATGTACAATGGATCAAACAAATTGATTAAATTTGAGATTGATATATATATATTAGGGTGGGTCAATTAAAAAAGTTCAAAGCATTATCGCGATTCTGGTACTATGGATCGTAACAAGTATTTTGGCCCAAGGAACCATACCTTTAAAATGAATTTCGGTCGGGTTTCAGGTCAACAAAATCAGGGGTTGAGAGGTTATGACCCCCTAGGGGGTGGGGGGAGCTGGAGGGCAACTGACCCAAAAAATTTCTCTCATCATTCTGAACAACTTTGTAGAACATAATTTTTTGATCCGATGATAAAATCGACATCCACAAAAAAAATTTGGGAAAAAAAAGAAGAAAACGACCATTTTTGCCAGTTTTTGTATGGAAATCGTATCAAACCGATATTATATGGCAAAATAAATGTCAAAAATGGTTTCCTCGACCCCAAGAACCCCCGCATACACATTTGGCTAGGGAAAAAATAATGATTTTTTGAATTTTTAATGCAATGTCTAAGTCGATTTTTCAATATTTTGGAAAATAACTGCCAAAAAAATTCCGCGGACTCGAAATTCATTTTAGATGTATGGTTCCTTGGGCAAAAATACTTGTTACGATCTATAGTACCAGAACCGCGATGATGCTTTGAACTTTTTTTCAGCGCCATACAATTTGACCCACCCTTATATATATTATATATATATTACCATACCAGTATTCAGTTTCATTACATATCGGTTCGACTTTCTTGCCAACAATAACAATGCGACATTTTTCCGGTACTAATTCGTTCATTAAATTTTGAATAAGATCTGGTCGCCATTCAGATATTAAATACGGAGCGGTGAGCACTTCTTCCATTGGATATAATTGCATCGAATGGACTACACTAGAAACGAGCAACAATGCAGTTTCTTTGTCTTTAAATCGAAATTGCATTTCACTCAAGTTTAAGTATTCTTCAAAAATCCACTTTTTCGGTCCGCCTGTTCGCAACATGTTGATATACTGAGAGTGATTTTTTTCATTAATATTGAAAGAAACTCAACATAAATATGTATTATAAATGGAACTTACTTGGAAAATTATTTTTATGATTTCATCATTATTTTCGAAACCGGTTTGTGTTAAATCTACCATTATATCAAAAAATCCAAATCCACGCGCTAGCGTATTGTGACCCGCTAATAAGCTGTTAGACCAACCTCTGCTTTTCAACTCCGATAAAATGCTACCTAAGAGGCGAATCACAAAAGAGTTTCTTACATTCCAATGGTTCTCACACAGAAAAAACTAAATAAGATAAAATGCTACCTTTTCCTTCATGACCAATTAAATGGCTCAAATATGCTTCTGGCTGGAATAAAATATAATAAATTAATAAGGTTAGAACTAACTGAAAGAGGACCTTCAGTATGAAAACTTGTGAAAAGACTTACGCCAGCCTTATAAAACTGATCCAAATCACCCGTGGGAAAAGTGAGTGTTAGTGTTCGCGAATCTTTCACTGGAACAATTGATATCTAGCGATGATCAGAAGAAAAGGGTGGAAAAATGGAAGTATGAATAATGATAATAGAACAAAATGGAAAAAGAATCAAAGGAATAATTAATACTTTCGTTGCATAATGTTCTTTCAAAAACGGATGATTTGTCCATCGTGGAGATATAACACTTTTATTCACAATTTCCGAAAATCGTGATATGACCATGGTTTCGAGTTCATCAAGTGTTTCGCGCCCATACACAGCTAAACACATGATATTTGCTGAATACCTAAGGGGGGAATCACAAAAGAAAAGAACGAATAATCAAAAAATTATTAGTGAATTAGCGTGTCCACTAACTTCTATTGGTTGCCCTAAATGCCAATTTTCTCACAAGGCAAGTTTTATTTTAAACTCTCGGAGACTCGGTATAGAGCACTCAAACAGTGAAAAAAGTCCAGATCGTGATTTGGATGATATGGAATGCGATTTTTTTCATTCTGATTTCACCAGGTGATAAAGAAAATTGAGTAGTATTTGTAAATCGAAGAATTTTTTTTAATTATTTCTTTCATTTTTCGCGACTTTTTCACCATTTACTTGGGCGGCCTGTATGAAAAACACGGAAGACCGCTGAAATGACACTGTCGTATATCCGTACATCTTTTGTATTGGCGACAACTATTGAATAGTGAGAAAATTGGCATTTCGGGCAACCAATAGAAGTTCTAAATTAGTGAGCAACAGCGAAACATTTCATAACAAACTGCATCATAACTTAAGTTGCAGTTTGTTTCTCATTATTTTATTGTTTTTCTCTAATTCTCAACTCTTAAATGTTGACATTTGATTTACATTCCAGTTTAAGTTGAAGATTTTTCTCAACTTTTCTGAGGGTATCTTTGTTTCTCAACGGTTCATATACACAGAAACAAGTATCGGAGTACGCTTACTCACACTTGCGGTGTTAGTAGAGGCTTTACCCCTCAAAATGAGTTACGCACTCTATTTAACTCTATTTTTGGTGTAAGTTTCATCGAAGTAAACGCATCACAGCACATCACAGTGAAAAAAGCATAGCAGTGAAACGTCAAGTTTGACAGCTACTACGCGTACCAGTAGTGTCATCCAGCTGCTGGAGTCCAGCAGCTGTTTTTTCAAAAAGCAACATTCAATAATGATTTTTATTTCTGAAAAACTCAAAAAATCTTCTTTTTAATTATTTTTTTCGGATGGATAAAAATAATTAATTCACGATTTGATTCAAAATTGGTCATGTTCTAAAAAAATAACATTTTTCCATTCGCTACAAACTGTCCATTTGAATTGACATTTTTGTTCTTATGCTAGCGTATTCAGCAGCTCGATGTGCACATAAATTCAGAATAGACATTTTTTATTTTATAAATTGGTTTTATCTTTCATTTTTTTAACCGCTACTTTTATCCGTGTTAAATGAATAAATTCTTGAAATATCTACACTGAAACAAAAAAAATCTTGATTCAGCTGCTGGAGTCGGACTATACATTTCAATCACATTCAAGCGAAGAATTGCATAAAATCAACATTCGGTAACTTTTATTAAACTAAAGAAAATTATATTATTATTATTATGCATGTAAAGTTGTTTAAAATTATTTTAGCAACAAAAATTAATAAAAATCCAGTAATGAATTATTGTCGTTGTTTGTTATAAACATAGATGCGTACTGAAATAGTTCGGTACGTTCATTTGACATATTACAGGTGGCGCGTCGAACCGCAAAACTACGTATTTCATTAGTATGGAAAAAAGAGATACATGTGTAGTACATATGTATGTACGTTGCCGCATGCGTTCAACGAGTTATGTTTCATTGCGTGCATATGAGTCTGTGTATACGCTAACGAATATGATTGCTAAGTGTATCGTCACATACGTTCGATGAAACTAACACCAAAAATAGAGAAAAATTGAGTGCGTAGCTCATTTTGAGGGGTAAGCGTACTCGAATACTTGTTTCTGTGTAGTCTCTTACATTCTAATGGTTTACAACTCTCACTCACTCACACAGACACACTGAGAGAATCTCTGTCTATCACACATATTTTGTTTGTATCAACATCAGCATTTGGAAATCTCATAATATATATTAGAATTAATGTATGAATGTGAATGATGATAATGAAAATAATCGAAAAAAAACAATAAGAATTAAAAAATAATAGAAAAGCAATTTATAAGTGAATTGCCCCGGCTGAATACCATTTTTCGTGGAACTTTAAAAGTTCTTCACGAACATTAATTCCAAATTTTTTCGGATCTTCACTTAGTGTCTTCGCATTACCGGTACCAAATTTACTGTACGGATGTGTTGGATCGGCCAGTGCTTTGTTCACTTGTCGAATTCGCCATACATCAGTGGCAAGATTTTTCTCGTGTTCTGAATTGACTGCATTAATTTCACGATCAGTTGCGCTGTCTGTGAACAACGGAGCAATGAAAAACTGAGCGAATCGATCTAGAGCACCTTCCAATTTATTGTACACCACATCAAAATAATACTTCTTATATTTTCCCAGTAAACAATTGTTAAAGCAAATACATCCATTACGGTTGAAATTGGCGCCACATTCATTTTAAACGTCACCAATGGAAGGAAAGAAGAAAAAAAATAACTTACTTAGAAACTTAACTATGCAATAAGATCAATAAAGCCAAGAAAAAAATGTCATTTTTCCATATTCCTATCACCTATCGTCAAAAATGGATTTAATTCAGGTTGGGCGCATATTTTTTCATTTTAGTTCAAACTCAATGGGAAATGGGAATATCACATGAATTTTATCCTATTTTGACGGTAGAAGAGGGTGAAACTATGTCATTTGCATCTCCGAATTGAATTACATATTTTAACGCTAAATTCAACTAAAAATCGTTATCATAATTTTTCTAAAAGCAAAAATTAAAGAAATATTTTCCTTTTGAAAGTTTATCCATACCGTATTGTCAGCATATGTTGATGCATTCGAACTGCCACCATTCTCCGATAGATATGTGCTGTAAGCATTTTCGTTAGGATATTTTCTCGTACCGAGGAACAGCATATGCTCACAGAAGTGTGCAAGTCCAGGTAGATTCTCTGGATCACTCATATGCCCTATCAGAAAAGAAGTAGATAGAAATAATGAAAATTAATCAATATCATAGCTACAACCCGCACACTACTGATCTAATGGTAAACCCTTCTGCGTTTCGTTTGGAATTTTATTATAAAATTCTAGGGGCTTTTAAGTATATACATTTTGCAAAATATACACAAATATTCATCATATATACGGCATAAATCTCCAGTGAATATTTCATATTTTATTCTGTATTGTATAGCTACACAGGAACGAAGAAAATCCGCCGAAATATATACTGAAATAGTAGTATTGACTTGAAGTTAAAAGCCCCTAGATAAAATTACTGATCTTTACCCACGTCAACCGTCATCGATGCAGCTGCTTTATCGGTAGCCGGATCACTAATCAGTAACACTTTCAAGCCATTGCTCAATTGTAAACCACGGTAATCACGATTATCTTGTTGAGATTTCACAATATTATTGACTCGTAATGGTTTTGCACCATCAGAAATTGTTACTTTTATCGACGGTAAAGCACTTTTGCTGCTCGCCAAATTTGAATCCATCTTGGTTTGTATATTACGAGCAAAGAATGTACGGCAACGTTGGAAATTACTAAAAACCACAAGAACAAAATATAAAAAAGTTTCTCTTATTAAAAAAAAACGTAAAGATGTTAAAAAAACGTGTTCATGCATTACAAACACAAAAATAGGTGTCAACGGGAATGGAAAAACTTAAATGTAAATATCAAAATTCGCAAGGATATGCAAAAATAAAGGTTTGTTATTCACGTTGATTCAATTGGTTGCGTGGCGTGTTATTTTTTTTAAATATATAATTTAGATATTTATTTGTTTGAATGTCTTTGAAAAAACGTCTTTCAAAAAGCTTTTGTCTCTATAAATTTTCAAAAATGACTAAAAAAATAAAATACTTGAATAAGTACATTAAAAAAATACTTATTAAATTAAAAGAATTAGAAGTTTTTATAAATACTATTTTGCTATTTTTTACTACTCAATCAATGTGACATTTCGAAATGGCTTCGACAATCAATTGCACAAATTGAAATCACCTTATTAAAATACCACGGTTACATATTGTTGTTATCGTAAGACGATAAACTTGAAAAAACATTAAATACTATTTTGTTGTGTTTTATAGCAGCGAACAAATTTCAATTGGATTTAAACAAATAGTGCAAATAATGTAATAATAATAATAATTATGAAGTCCGTGTTGAAATGAATGACTGTCTTCTCTGCTACTTCCAGCTGACGTAAAGTGACACTCGAACGTAATAGATAAAAAAAAACAGAACTACCAACATAACCTGTGCAGTTGTCAAAACGTCAGAAATCCAAAAAAATTAACTGTCATCACGTAACAAATAATCTAAACCAGATAGAAAACAGACAAAAAATAAAAAAAGTTTTTTTAGTCTGAATGGAGTCCCAATAATAGCAGAAAACTGTTATCAGTGAAAAGAAAAACAAATCTTAAATAACATTTCCGAATTTTCTGTAATTAATTCAAAACTATTTTTGTTTAACGAAAAGTAGAAGAAATATTTATTTTGTTGTGTTTTTGATCGAAAAGTGAAGACAGTTGAATTATGGGATTTGCTGCATTGTGTTCGGCATCAAAATGCTCAAGATTGACAAAATCCGTGATTAGCAATTTTGTTGGTGCATCAGCTGCTGTATCACATATCAGGTACAATATTTTTACGGATATTTGCAATTCTCTTACATACATTCATTTAATTGGCGGAAAGGAATATATTTTCTCATGACATTTATGATACCGACATTGGCGCAACGTATTCACAATGCGAAGAAAAGTTATATAATCAATGATATATTTATAAAAAAAGATACGATTAATTTGTGTTGCATTTTGAAATTGTTGAAACCGGGTTTTTAGACAAATTTGGAAATTGATAAGTACCCAATACCTTCTATCCATAAAGAGAAAACACTTAACCTCAACTGTGTAATTCATACCAAAACAAATACAAAATGTGGCTTGCAACAAAAAACTTCATATTAAAACGTATACTAAAATCAAAAAATTAATTTCTCATAACAGACAACAACGACGAAATGCTGGCAAGTGGTTTCCAGATGAAGAATATATTAAATCATACTCTGGAGTAGTACTTTATCCTACTGAAGAAACGAAATGGCTGAAACCAATGTATAATGGCAAGTTTAAACAACTAAAATATTTCAATTATTCATACATATATGCACGATTTCATTTTTATATATAAACTTTAAACTTTTATTTTCTAAAATGAAAACAAAATATGTCGTTTAATTTCTGTGTAGAGAAAGCAATGTTTCCACCGCCACCAGAAAAAGCAGTAAGGAATATGATTTTGAATTTTGGGCCACAACATCCAGCTGCTCACGGTGTACTTCGTTTGATTCTAGAGTTGGAGGGTGAAGTTAGTATAATTTAATATACCTCCATCTCAATGAGAGTTGTCTACTTTAACATTTTTATTTTAAATATCAACTCAACACAGACTGTCATCAGAGCTGATCCACACATTGGACTTTTGCATCGTGGTACGGAAAAATTGATTGAGTATAAAACATATACTCAAGCCCTCCCCTATTTTGATAGGTTTGTTAATTTTTTCTAGATTTTACTCAATTAATCACACAATTTTTCAATTCAAACTATAGATTGGACTACGTATCAATGATGTGTAATGAGCAATGTTATTCATTAGCCGTTGAAAAATTGTTGAATATCGACGTTCCGATCCGCGCCAAATATATTAGAAGTAAGATAGCAAAATGTTCACCATTATAAAGAAATTATTTTTTTTATTAATTACACGTAATTCTCTATCTATAAACATATACCACCCTTTCTAACAAACAAAAAAACTACAAACTACAGCTTTGTTTGCCGAATTAACTCGTATCTTAAATCATATAATGGCTGTGGGGACACATGCTTTGGATGTGGGTGCAATGACACCATTCTTCTGGTTGTTTGAGGAACGTGAAAAACTTATGGAATTCTACGAGCGAGTATCAGGGGCTCGTATGCATGCCGCTTACATCCGACCAGGTGGTGTTTCACTTGATTTGCCGCTTGGTTTGATGGATGATATTTATGACTTCGCATCACGATTTGGTGAACGCTTGGATGAAACTGAAGATCTATTAACTAACAATCGTATCTGGATTCATCGTACAGTTGATGTTGGTTGCGTCACCGCTGAAGATGCTTTGAACTATGGATTCAGTGGTGTCATGCTGCGAGGTTCTGGTATTAAATGGGATTTGCGTAAATCTCAACCATATGACGCATATGATTTAGTCGAATTCGATGTACCAATTGGAACTAAAGGCGATTGCTATGACAGGTATAATAACCTAGTAGATTTAATTGATTCAAATTTCATTTTTTTTTGTAGATGTCTTGAACTACTTTTTATTGTAAAAGTAATATTTAATTCTATTAATGTTTCCAAATTAATTACTAGATACTTGTGCCGCGTAGAAGAAATGCGTCAGTCGTTGCGTATAATCAACCAATGCTTGAATCAAATGCCATCTGGCGAAATAAAAACAGACGATGCCAAGATTACCCCACCAACACGTGGCGAGATGAAAGAATCAATGGAGGCATTGATCCATCATTTTAAATTGTTCACACAAGGTTATCAAGTACCACCCGGTGAGTAAATGGTTTTTATATCGAATAAAAAGTGCAACACAATTCTTTGAATTAATAAACTGGTTTTATTTAATCACTTCCAGGTGTAACGTATACAGCTATCGAAGCGCCAAAAGGAGAGTTTGGTGTTTATCTCGTGTCAGATGGATCAAGTCGGCCATACCGATGTAAGATTAAGGCGCCCGGATTTGCACATTTAGCTGCACTTGAAAAAATTGGCCGTAAACATTTATTGGCTGATATTGTTGCAATCATTGGAACATTAGATGTTGTATTTGGTGAAATTGATCGATAGATTCAGAAGCTCAACCAAATGTAACTAAGATAAACAAATAAATTAAAAACCAAAACCTCATGTCAATCAAGGTGGGGCGTTTTATTCACAATAAAAACACTTTTTATTTTGAAATTATTAATTCATATCATTTTCATTAGCCAGCGTAATTGATAGTCATTGCCATCTTGTTCTTCAGCATCGAAGTTAGCCAACTCTTGCTTGGACGTTAAATCTGGTGAATCAAGACGAACTGTAATAAAAATAATAATGTAACATACTACTAGTATGATACTAGTAAATTCCTGTTCTTGTTCGTTGTTTTCTTCTCATCGTAATTCTTTTATTCGGGCAAGCATTTGCTTCTTGTTACATGGGCACAACTACACTTCACGACATCCTCTTTAAATCGATTTTTTTGAGAAATTTCATTTTTTTTAGTTATAAAAATGATGGGGAACGATGAATTGGGGTTGGGGAAAGCTGATTTAAGGATCAAAAATATTGCACCTGTTCGGGATATGAAAAAAAAAACAGCCCCTGTAAAAGGTCAATTTTTGGGGTCAAAATGGAAATTATCAAGTAGTATCACGTCCAGATTTCAAAATTAACTATATAGATCAATAGTAAATGAAGAAAAAATAATTTAGTGAAAAGGGGGTTGCCCCTCTTGGGTATTAGTGGGGGGAGTACCCAACTTGTCCAAAACCTCATTGGATCAAAAAGTGATGTATGGCAAATTTGTTCAGAATGACGAGAGAAATTTTTAGGGTAGCGCGCGCGCTGACGAATGTATTCAATACACACATTTTCATCAATAAATGCATAACGCGCCACCTACTCAAATTCCGACTCAAAAAGAAAGAAAATCGACTTTACAGTATCGGACCCCCTAGGGGATGGGGGGAAGGGGAGGGCAGCTACCCTAAAAAATTTCTCTAGTCTGTCTCTGTGTAACAATACAAGCGTAAGCCTGTATCACACATACGCTCCGTACACACAACGCGCATCGGCTGCTGTATAAGTGAATATGCGGCAAAATATAGTACTATACAGGGTGGGCCAGAATAAGTGTAGCTTTTTTGCACCTACGTAATTTCAACTACAATGCTTTCCGATCACCCTTTGGTTCACCGTTATGTTTATTCATGTTTGTGCAATCCACTGTGACGATGCACAGTATTGCGCAGTTATTGTTTACTTTACAATAGCAATGGATGTGAAACGTCAACTAGTTTTGAATTTGCACAAAAAAGGTTTGCGACAAGTTGATATTTTTCGGAAGCTTCAGAGCAGAGCTGGGCACGAACAGTCGGTCGTTCGTTCGTACATTGAAAAAATATGTTTTTGTGGTCGGTCGTTCGTTCGTTGAAATTATTAATGATCGGTCGGTCGTTCGTAAAAATTGGAATGTTCGTTGTGTTCGTTCGTAAGTGCGATCGAGCACCGAACACGTCCGGACGTCCGGATGTTCGGCGCAAAAATTGTCAAATCAAGTTTACAATTCTCTGTTGAATTTTTTGAAATTTACAAAAAATAATAATAATTAAATAAATGAATTTTAGTTTGAACACTAACAAAATACGAAATTTCCTTATTACGAATTTTAGGAAATTCCATATATTTGGTATAGTCCATACCTGAAATAACCTCATATTTTCAATGATGAAATAAATATAGATGAATTTCATAACATTTCGTAATAAAAAAAATTTATATTTTGAACACTTCACACAAACTATTTTTGCTGTATGGGTTACAACAAAACTTAGCTATCAGACGCGATACAGTATTTTACTGTAGTTTAAGTCAAAATTACAATATTTTGCTGTAACTTATTTTAATTTTTATTTAAATTCAATGAAATCTTATATTTTAAAATATCCAGTGATTAAACCATTTTTTGGTTTGATACTTTGAACAACCCGGAGCATGCGGAACGGTTTCAAAATGATTTGCACTGGTGTATATACACTATTGTAAAGTATGTATTCGTATTTGGTTGCGTGCTATGCTAACACAGCTGTACGCGACTGTGTGTGTGTGTGTTTACACGGACACAGTGCAAACCATTTTCTCTACGTTTCGCTTGCTCCGTTTTGGTTTAAGCCAAACTGAAACCAATCACAGAAGCCGTTTTCAAATTGGTTTGTATCAGAACTGTCAAACTATTCCAGATCGCTGAAAATATCCAAGCGAATTCATTGTCATTCAAACAATTTTATTGTATTTAAATAAAAATTAAAATAAGTTGCAGCAAAATATTGTAATTTTGATTTAAACTACAGTAAAATACTGTATCGCGTCTGATAGCTAAGTTTTGTTGTAACCCATACAGCAAAAATAGTTTGTGTGTTGAGAAAGAAAATTTATATGAATTAGAAATTATTTGAAAATTTATTTATTCAAATATTTTTTTCTTTAAATTTGTACAATTATGAATTATTTAACAACTCAGGGTTTACAATTTTGCTTCGAACATCCGGACGTCCGCACGTGTTCGGTGTTCGATCGCACATACGAACGAACACAACGAACATTTCAATTTTTACGAACGACCGACCGACCATTAATAACTTCAACGAACGAACGACCGATCACAAAAAAGGAAAGGAACGTACACGAACGACCGATCACAGTCGGATATTGATGTTCGTGCCCAGCTCTGCTTCAGAGCGACAATATCAATTTGAGATTTATTCAGCGCACCATAAAACGATACAAGGAACATGGAACAGTCGATGTGGAACGAAAACCGGGCAGAAAAAAATCCGTAAGAACAAAAGATCTGGTCAAAAAGGTACGAGACAAAATTCGTCGAAATAACAAAAGAAGCGCTAGAATCTTGGCTCGTGAGCACAATATCAATCGATCTTCAATGCGACGAGTGTTGAAAGAAGATTTGGGAGTTAAACCATTTAAAAAAAATTGAAAACATGGTTTGACAATCAAAAATAAGCAAGACAGAAAGCAGAAATGCAAAGAACTGCTACGCCGGCGCGCAACCTCAAACATTGTTTTTTTCAGACGAAAAGTTGTTCCTTTTGCAGCCAAGTCTCAACGCGCAAAATGATCGCGTGTATGCAGCGTCAATTGAGGACATTCCTGAAGATGATTTAGTCGTTGAACGATTTCAAAATGTGTCGAGTGTCATGGTTTGGGCCGCCGTTTCGGCCGGCCACAAATTTCCCCTTGTTTTCGTTGAAAAAGACGTTAAAATTAACACAGCTGTGTATGAAGAAGAAATATTGCGCAAAAACTTGTTGCCACATGCCGAAGCTGTGTTTGGTGATGAACCTTGGGTGTTTCAGCAAGATAGGGCACCGGCACATCGAGCAAACAAAGTGCAACAGTGGTTACGAGAAAATGTGCCTGATTTTTTGAACAAAGATGAGTGGCCGCCATCGTCTCCAGACCTAAATCCGTTGGATTATTTTGTGTGGGGCTACATGCAATCGAAGTTAAATGATCTGAAGATTAAGAAAATTACAAAATTGGATGCATTCAAAAAGCAAATCGTCAAGATTTGGAACGATATTCCCATCGAAATGGTGCGCGCCGCGTGTAAATCGTTTTTACGACGTTTGCGTTTGGTGGTCCGTGCAAATGGAGGAAGAATCAAAACCAAAACATGAATCTAAAATTTTGGACCCTCTTCTAAATCCCAATTAAGTTTTTGTTCAATTTTAGTAAAAAACAATACGTTTTTTGAGCATATATAAAAGCGACACTTATTCTGGCCCACCCTGTATTATAGCTAGAAAAATATTATACTATAAGATTTTTATATACGAACCATTCCCTGGATTTTTTTACTCATAGCCAACAAACAAGTAGTGGAGGTGAAATTGACCAAAGTTTCACCCACTTCCATCGTTGAATTAGGTTGAAATTCAGGTGATATTTAACTGTGCGCCAAACCCTAATTAAATTTATTTTTATTGAATAATATTAGAATATTTGCATATGAATCAACATCCATATTAATGTAAAAATCATATAAAATTTTCTTCTAATTGTTCGTGTTTCAGTGCATAGCAGTGTTTTGTATATCAACAACTTTGATTGTTTTTTTTTCTCATTAGATTTGTATTCAATTGGTAGCAATCAATTGCAGCTAACATTTACATTTCTTGACAGTGCTTTTGGTAAGTACTCAAAAAACAGGATTTTTTCTAGATTTTATTTATGATCAATAGTTTACATTGTTTGTCGTATAAATTTCACAATCGAATGCAAATCATATTAAATATTGTTCCGTTGGTTTTTTTTCGATAAATTTCTTGAATACAATTGCATTTGATACAGCATTTTGGTGCTGGTTTTTTTCCTTTTTTGCGGTGATAGTAACAGTGTTGTTGAGTACAAAATAAGAATGGATTTTTTCTTAATTTTCATTAAAATCACAATGGCAAAAAGGTGAGGGCCCAAAATTTTTGGCGGTGTTCCAAGCAAAACAAAATATCAATTCTTAGGTATTTTTGCATGCTGATTCCGAATTTTGGGGTTTCAGGTCAAAAAAATCATATCTTGGGGGTTTTTGATCCCCGACCCACCAGGGGTGGGAAGACTTGGAGGGCAGGGGTCCTAAAAATTTCTTTCGTCATTCTAAACAACTTTGTAGTACATTACTTTTTACCTCCAACATACCCCTCAAAGGGTTTTTCAAAATTCCCACCCCCCAAGAGTGGCCCTATTTCGTGAGACACCCTGTAGGGGAGGATGGGGCGAATCGCCTCATTTTTTTTTTTGAAGTCAAATATCTCGGCAACTCATAATGACAAATGTCTGGTATCGTTTGAAAGGTGGTTTTAATACGCAACTTTTGTAGAAGAAACTTTTTTGTTTTGATACCATTTCAACATATGGAAAAATGGGCCGAATCGCCGCACCTTCAAAATTTCAATTCTTATCACTCTCTCATCTCACATATGAGTAATAAAACATAATCATTTTTATTTTAATTATATTTCTTTATCTTTACTTGATTATTATTGATAAGAAACTGTGAAAAACATTGTTGGCACTCAATAATAGAGAGATAAAAAGCATTTTTGAAGTATTTTGAGACCGAGAATCCCAATTTTCTGCGTTTTCTTTAAAAACAATCATGGGTTGAGGGGTTATGACCCCCTGAGTGGGGGGGAGTTGAATGGCAGCTGATCAAAACAATTCTTTCATCATTTTGAATTTGTAGTAAATCATTTTTTGATCCGACGAAATATTACAAAGTGTGATGCTCTCCTGTCCCCAATATCCCGATTGGGAACCCCTTATTTTTACGAACTCATTGTTTCTGCACATCCAATCGATCTGTATAGGTCAAATTAGAAAAAAAAATCTGATAGTTTGTGCATTTTACTGGTAAAAACTCAATATGAGTGCGGCGATTCGCCCCGTACTGAAGTGCGGCGGTTCGCCCCGAAGACGAAATTTTGCGCCAAACCCGATATCACACAAAAAACCAAAAACAATCCGAAAATGTTTATACCCGCTAGAAAGCACTTGACTTAAGCTACATTTAAATAACACTTACTCTTTATTCAGAAAAATAAAAATTAATGCACAAAAGTCAAAATTCTAGAAAGGCGAAAAAAAATGTAAAAAATCGAAAAACACTTTTATGCTTCTAAAAAGCTATTGACGTAATGAAAGTCCAATATCCAAGCCAATTATGGAGGACGCTTCTAGACATATAACGTGTACATTTTACATCCAAAATGTATATTTCTGTGCATTTCATTACAAATATTTAAAATATTGTAGTAAATTGAAGTGAAATTTTCAGCAAAGAAACAGCTATATACATGTAACCAAAGATGGCGTTCGCGATTAAGATTCCACTGACGTTTTCATATAAATATGCCAACGCAATCCCCGGTTAGAATTGTACATGAACTCAATTTCATTGATACGAAATGACCAAAGCTTTATATCTTTTACTTTTACAACCTTTATTTCTATTGTAAATTTTGGTTTGATTTTTTAAAATAATTCAATGTCATTGCATAAACTTTTTTTATGATTGATGGTGCATATATTTTATTCATTTATCTAAATGGTCCTTCATTTAATCATTTGGTTATCAATCTTGAGTGCAATAGCTGCCGTTAATGCTGCACCTAGAATATAAATTAGTATAATAATAAAAAAAATTTTTTTTAAATATATTTCTTAAATTTAAATGCACCTTTTCCACTTCCATCTTCAGCCAACATGAGGCGAAACTAAATATTAAAGAAAAATTAATTACACTACAAAAACACTCTTAAATAATTCTTACGGTTTTGCCAGTTGTATTTAATTTGCCGATAATTCGATATAACCATGCATCCATTCTTGGATGTTTCTTATATACTGATCCATCTATTGCAATGGTTACATCTTGGCAAGTTAGACGAGCCAAAATAACCGATGTTGTTATCGAAACCAAAAGAGCTGCACGATGCGAAACAACAGCAGCTACATGTTGAATCACAGCGATATCATGTTCCGACACATTTTTGAAACCAGCTTCATTTAAAACGTCTTTTGTGAGGTTTGTCGTGCCATTTAAATTATCTCTGTAATATTTATTTGGAAAATAGAATAGCTCTCTTATATTGTATACGGCTAAATAGTTGATCTTTAGTTGAGTCGTTGATTTTCCGAAGTAGAGTGTGGCCCACACTGTGTGTGGTCCATTCTCAATCACTTACTCTTCAATCGAAGAAATTTCTCTTGTATCAAATGACCATGGTTTTGGGAATGCAATAGCCGGAGTATTATGGAATGCCAATTTCCTCTGCTGAAGTTCTTCTAGCACCAAACGAACTAATTCACCTAAGTATTTTCCACCAATATATTTCTCGAAACTATAAAATATAGAAATCAAATGCTTTATACATTAAAACTGATCTTTCTAAAGCTTCTTACGTATAACCGCCTGGTAAAAGTGATGTTTCATCTAAGCGATCATCAAATCGTGTGCGAATAAAATCCAATGAACCTTTATCACCAAACGCACCCCATTCGATGTCAATACAAACTTGTTTTGCACCACGTCGTCCTTTTCCTTCCCAATGTTTTACACGATCAGCCTTTTTCATATAAAATAGAAAAAATCTTAAAAACAGGTTCAAAACAAGGATGGCATTACTAAGTCTTTACATTTTCTACATATGCTGCATTACTTCCTGTTCCGAAAACAATTCCAATTCGAGTTCGCTTGTCAAGATTTACACCTTGTATCTATTGAAATGAGAAAAAAGTACTTGTTGAGGGACCTTTTTTGACAAAAAATTGTACCATAAAAAATATTGATTCAAATATTTACCAATGTACTTGTGGTGTCATTGAGAATAGCGACTACTTCAATATGATTATGTCCAAGCTTATGCAATGAATCTCGAAGTCGCTCAACAACATCAGTTCCAAGAACTGTTGGTAAATTAAATGATTTTGCCTAGTCGAGAATAAATTTTTAATATTTTTGGTACATTTTAATGTTGAAAAATTTAGCGTTTTGGCCCATTCTGATGGTCATTTTTGTGTAAAATGGAACGGAGATTATGTGCATATTGGGTGTATCGATTAATTTCCGGAAACTGACAACAGATGTCACCACTTGCTTGTGCGTTCAACGTACTGCGTTGTAGTAGATCAATGACATATACGTCATTTGAAAGGCCTATTCAAATACTGTCAAAATCAGTCAAAAGTGTTTCATTTGTTTGTGTACATCATATTACTTTTCCGCACACATAGTGTAAGGTGAAAAGTATTGTAATCGGTCAAAATTTTGAAATCTTCAGAAACATGTTTTCTGGACGTTTCTGAGGTCAGAGAACCCGAATCAGGCCGTTTTGAGCATGGTTTATGTTAATCTGTACGTCGTACGTTGTACGTCGTACGTTGTACGTCGTACGCAAAATTTGTTAGCAAGATTGCGCTCATCGTAGAAACTTAATTCAAAATCTGACTTTACAGGATGATTGGGAGTCCCGAGGAATAGAAATCATTAGCTTTTGAGCGACTTTGGTTGATGGAAAAAAATGTCATGCCTGTAGTGATATCTATGAAAAAGAGTCCAATTTTCGTCCAAAAGTCATACTTAACGTAGACACTCAAAAATATGTACTGGGGGGTTTTTTGGCACGAGAAAACCAAATCCGAGGTTAGTTTTGAGATACAATCAATTTTTGATACAGTTTCCTTGAAAAAATCACAAAAAAATGAATTTTTGTATGGGAGTCATGCCTGTATGCTACCTTAATGACGTGAAACTTTGCACAGTCTATTTTTTACACAAAAAATAACATTCCAAAAGTTTGAAGAGATTTCAATCAAAATTAGGGGTACCTCCCATACAACATTTTCAGTTTTTGGCTCAAAAACGAATATTTTGCATGGGAGGTACTCTTAATTTTGGTTGAAATTTCTCCAAACCCTCCGAATGTTATTTTTTTGTGAAAAGTGTTTTGTCAAAGTTTCACACCATTAAGGTAGCATACAGACATGGCTCCCATACAAAAATCCAATTTTTTTGTGACTTTAGTTATGAAGTGTTTCAAAAATAATTTCTATGGCAAAATTAACGTCAGACATATTTTTTTGAATGTTATTGCAAAATGATTCCATTGCTTACAAAAAAGAAACGTTTGTGGTGTACGGCGGTTAAACAGTGCGGAAAAGTTCGTCTTACGTTCGTAAGACCATTTATTTTTTTTTAACGATGGAACATTTTGAAAATTGGAGAAAGAAACAGCATTTGCGAGAAGTTTTGTTAAGCTAGTTTTGTGAAAAGAAAACTGCAGCTGAAAGTCATTGTTTACTTGTGAAATTGTATGGCAAACATGCTCTCGCAAAAACACGATGTTACAAGTGGTTTTAACGATTTGAAAGTGGTGATTTTGATGTTCAAGACAGAGATCGCCCAGGTCAGCCAAAAAAGTTTGAAGATGAAGTTTTGCAAGGATTATTGGATGAAAACTCAGCCCGAACACAAAAAGAACTTGCATTAGAGTTAAATGTCACTCAATCAACCATTTGTGAACGTTTGCGTGCAATGGGAAAGATTCGAAAGCTAGGGAAATGTGTGCCACATCAACTCAATGAAAATCAATTGAGAGCACGAATCACAGCATGCCAAAAACATCTTGTCGAGCACAAAAAACATGGCTTTTTGAATCGTATTGTCACGGGCGATGAAAAGTGGGTCTATTACGATAACCCAAAACGTAAAGAAGCGTATGTTGATCCAGGCCAACCAGGACCTTCACAGCCAAAACGAGATATTCATTGCCAGAAGGTTATGTTGTGCATCTGGTGGGATCAGAAAGAAATCGTGTATCATGAGCTGCTAAAACAAGGTGAAACGGTTACAGCTGATCGCTATCGACAACAACTGAACAAATTGGCACGTGCATTGAACGAAAAACGGCCGTTGGTAGCGAGAAAACACCACAAAGTTTTGTTTCACGATGATAATGCTAGGCCACATCGAGCACACATCGTCAATCAAAAGATAGAGGCGTTCGGTTGGGATCGGCTTGATCACCCCCGTACTCTCCAGACCTTGCTCCTTCAGACTACCACTTGTTTCGATCGATGCAAATGGGCTTGTCCGAGATATCGTTTCGAAATGGTGAAGGAGTGCGAAAATGGATCGATGGATGGATAGCTTCAAAAGATGAGGGATTCTTTCGACGCGGAATCGACAAGCTACCGAAAAGATGGGCGGAAGTCATAGCTAACGATGATCAATACATTGGTTAAAAAATATTGTACGGTTTTTTTTAAATAAATGTATCTTTTCACCAAAAAAATTCCGTAAATTAATCGATACACCCAATAGTTTCCAATCAAATTTGTGTGGAATTAATCAACTTCCAATAATATTTCATTTGACAACATAATGTGAACACAACCCAACACATTAAGTTTTAAATTGATACTCTAACGATTCATTTGTTCATTCACACTCAAATAAAAAATAAACAATTTATTCAGAAAGAGATCTACGTAATTTAATTTAAAACTCTGCAGAAGAACTCTTTTATGATGAACAGTTCGAATGGCCAGATGATGGAAAATTGGGAAATGGTTTCAATTATTTTTGTGAACAGTATATCACAAATACGATAACCAATCTCACCACTTGGTGTGAAGATCGACTTGAGTCATTCTTTCGAATGCGATGCTGGTATCGCAATTCACAACATCAATCACAACATCAATCGTATTGGTTGTTCGGAACATAGGTGTCCACGAACGTTCGTTCGTTCGTTCGTAGAAAATGAGTTGTTCGGATTGTTCGTTCGTATGCTCGTTCGTTCGTAATTTATGGAAATTTATTTTCTCAATGTACACAAATATTGCGATAATAACTGTAAATTGGGATAACTTCGATTTTTCCCACTTTTCCGATGGGAAATCGTGAAAAATGAACAAAATGTTGACTGTAGTAGGGAGCCACAACACCGGATTGGTTCGATGGCCTAAAGTTCAAATCCAGTGGGATTCGGCTGACCCATGGATTCTCAGGATTTGACCTGGATTCCAGAACTTCCATAATGTATTTACAATTAAAAATACAACAATTACACGAAGAATGGATTTTTTATAGAATATCATTGAACCGCTCGGGTGTTGTGGCTCCAATTTACATTTATTATCGCAATATTTGTTTCAAGGGGCATACTACTACAGTTTCGTAATTCTCACAATTCAATCTAGTACCCCGATAATTCTGAATAATTCCGTATAATTCCATACAATGCTGCATAATTCTCAACAGTTTTCGAAGTGCTTTAAATAGTTGTTTATTTATATAATTTTTTTCGATGAATATTCATATTTTAATGATAACATTTTTGTTAAAATTAAAAAGTGTGTGTAATTTTGTATTAAAATAATTAGTTGGATTTCGTTTTATTAGTTGTCATCGATTTTACGGTGCAAAACATTCAATGCAAAACAGAGAAGCGGTTGTGTGAAAGAAACAATACATGCACAATCACCACATGTACGTTAAGCGTGTACATCACAGAGACGAAGAGGAGTAGTGTGCGCATGTATAAGGGTTGTCACTCTGTTCAGTTGCAACTGTCAGTTCTCTTTTGCGCTGAATATTTTGCTTTGTGAAATTGATGATAACTAATAAAATGAATTCAAACAAAATATTTTAATATTCAAACTTTGAACAAAAAAATATGGAAAATGTTATCATTAAAATATGAATATTCATCGACAAAATTTATATAAATAAACAACTATTTAAAACACTTCAAAAATTTGTTGAGAATTATGCGGCATTGTATGGAATTATATAGAATTATTTGGAAATATCGGGGTACTAGATTGAATTATGAGAATTACAAAACTGTAGTAGTTTGCCCCTTGATTTGTTTACATTGAGAAAATAAATTTCCATAAACTACGAACGAACGAACGAACGTGTTCGTTGTTCGTACGAACATACGAACGAACAATCCGAACAATTCATTTTCTATGAACCAACGAACGAACAAAATATCAACTCCTACTTACATTTGACTTTTTGACAAAAGCTCTACTACTGGCGCCATCTCTTTACACGAAGTCTAAGTAATAGATTTTTTTGTGTATTTCTCAAGTTTGAGATAAACCGCACATTGAATTGCGTTGCGTTGAATTGTAATTTAATAAATTGTTCATTTTTTTTTTAAAACATTTAAGTAATAAATAATTTTTAAAATGATATTGAATTTAAAATACAATAGAATAAAATAAAATAAACTAAAAACAAAGAGAGAGAAAACAGTGGAATGACAACAATCAATGTTGTCACTCACACGAACTTTTTTCTACACGAACAGTATTAGAATGACAAAAACCGAAATGAAGTGCACATGTATTTGAACAATATTGATCGCTCACATTGAGCGTCTCTACATACATACACAGTGCGCATAAGCGAACGAATCAACGTTAAGAATTTTGAACATGTGATTCAATGAGAGCAATGTTATTCGCAAAAATACATGGGCATTTCACTTTGGTTTATGTCATCGCATATACCGGCTGTCAACGATGAGCATGTAAACAAATTGTCATTTTGTATGATGCTATGTTTTGAGATTTCATATTAAATTAAATTTTTTTCATCAAAAAAATTGCTAAGTGTGCTCGATTAATTTTAAGTGAAATTTGCAATCAAATTTTAAATGCTACGAAATTTCAAGTCGAAAGAAATATTGCTCTACGCTGTGTGTATATTTTTATTTTATTTTTTTGTAATGAAGAGAAGACCGAATAAAAAGGCGTTTCATATGACGTAGATTGGCGGCAGTAAACCATAAATATGTATATAATAACTGTTGTGACTTCTATAATTCTTCTCTTTGATTTCGTTGACATTTTTTATTACCAGTTATTAAATTACAATTCAACGCAACTAAATATGTATGTGAATATGCGATTTCTCTCAAACTTAAGAAATACACAAAAACTTTTATTACTTCAACTTCGTGTAAAGAGATGGCGCCACGTTGAGCGGAGTTCGGCACAATAACACAGAAGCCCATATGACGCAAGTCAGGGTTGCAAAATATACATTGAAAACCAACGAACGGTTCGTTCGTTGGTGTTCGTGGACAGCTATAGTTCAGAAAAATGCAACGTCAAATAGCAGCTTATCACAGTGATGTCGCACAATGGTATACCATTCGTGATATATTCCGTGATAATCCGAACTTTCAACAGCCAACAAACAATCGCCCATGAAAAATAAACAGTTTTGCTATTGTACGTGGGCTGCTCCATATATTTCTAGAAAAGCATATACAACGCAATCGTTTTTTATCAAAAATGGCTTCATTGTTTTTCAAAGTATTCGCCATGATGGTCGATACACTTTTGCATACGCTCGAGCCACTTGCCAGCATTCATGCCACTCCGAAACCGATATCTCCAAAACGTGTGTTTTGAACGCATAAACTGCTTCTTCTGGCGTCGAAAATCATTGACCACGCAGTTTTTTCTTTACGCTCGGAAACCAAAAGAAATCGTTGGGTGCTAAATCAGGACTGTACGGTGGATAACCCATTAATTCGATCTTTTGAGCGGTCAAATATTCAGTTGTGTGATGAGATGAGTGAGAGCTCGCATTATCATGATGAAGAATTATTCTGCGACGGTGGTTATTCTTTCTTTATTCACCAAACACTTCTGGCAAAAAAATGGTGGTGTACCAATCAGAATTGACTGTTCTACGATCCTCTAGTGGAACTGTTGCCACATGTCCACTAATTGCGAAAAAACAGGCGACCATTTGCTTCGCAACACTTCGAGCGCGAACAACTTTCGTTGGATTATCTTCACTTTGGAAGACCCATACTGTCGACTGCTGTTTAGTTTCGGGCTCATACGCATATATCCACGATTCGTCGTCTGTGACGATGTTATAGACGGAATATGATGCACCGCGGTTATATTTGTTGAGCATTTCTTTGCACCAATTCACACGAGCTAATTTTTGGTCATCGGTCAATTTATGTGGAATCCAACGAGAGCAAATCTTTTTTACGGCCAAATGTTCATGCAAAATCGTGTGTATGCTTCTCATACTAATGCCCAAGGATGCCTCAATCTCACGGCATGTGACATGACGATCTTGCTTTATCATGTTTCTGACAGCATCGATAGTTTCTGGAACAACAACCGATTTTGGACGACCTTCACGGAATTCGTCGATGAGCGAATGACGACCACGATTGAATTCAGTAAACCAGTGATATACAGTGGCCTTGCATGGAGCTTCATCGCCAAAGACCAAATGAAGTTGATCAAAACACTGTTGTTGAGATACACCCAATCCAAAGTCGCAGTAAATTATCGCACGAAAATTTTCACGAGTAAAATTCATCTTTTTGTTGAGACGCAATTTAGATGTCACTGTAAACAATACAAATAGCGCGCGTATGACAGAACGTTCTGAGATCGTTTATGCTACCAAATGTTAAACGAATGTGACAATGGTTTGTATCGGACAACACTAAATATTGCCAATTCTAGAAATATATGGAGCAGCCCTCGTACCGTTATGCGATTATCATTTGAAGAGCTTGCGATTGGATATAAGAGACGTGTATAGACGATTGGCAAGCGTGCTAAAAGTGGTTCCCAAATTAAGCAATCCATACACCAACCGGCTAAATAAATACTCCGAAGAATACAGAGATCATGATCGAGATGGACTATGGAATTTGTTGTTCGACGTCGATAAAATCAAGCAATTGGGCAAACGAAACAAACAATTTCACCATTAAATCTTGATCGATAGTGTTTCCGTATCGGTACTGTACACCAAACCAGAGCGAACGTGCAAAGAAAATGTGCATTTACAGGCGTACAATCTTGTAGGCAAGAAATACGTTTTTGGCATCGATCCGAATGAAAAAACGTGGTTGGGTATAACGCGTCGCAACATCCGGAAAACACCGGATGAACCGACCGTTGAGGTGAGATATTTTGAAATGTAATTTGAAATGTGTTTGAATCGAAACTCAATATTTTTTATCAATTAAAATTTTGAAGGAAAACATCACAATACCAAACACGCGAATCTACTGGGAAACTCAGCAGAAATGAAGATAAAAAGAGGCGAAAAAATTAGCTGGATGGTTTGAAATTGAAGAAAAGAATCATCTGAAGTCATAATGACGAATCCCCAAACCCAGGATATATGGGAAATACTTCAGAATGGGCGTTTAATGTCAAAGATTAAAGTTACCTACAAAAATTGGCCATTAAATATTCAGGATGATGATGCTGCTCCACAAACAGTTGTTTGGCACCGCGATATTGTTGCTGCAAAATGCATTATGCTCAAAGGTATGAATCAATTGACAATAGAGTCTATTCATCGTTTGAAGTTTCGGCTTCAAAGTACATAGGACTTTGTCGAATGTTTGGCGTACGAGTGCCTGATTCGTTGAGAAGACCACCAAACAATGTCAACTGACAAGCAGCAGCATTGAATCCATAAATTATTAGATAAAACAAATATTATAACGATTAGTTAGCTTAGTTAAGCTTGTCACAATTTTTGTTACACAAATTTTGTGGCCTCATTTGTGCGTTCATACGAACAGTACAACGGTAGTACGGAGGAAAGGAGCCCGTAGGTGAGTATAGTTTTTAATAAAAAAAAGATATTTCATATACAATTCAATTGATACTAATTACTTTCGTTCCTCTTTTCTATGTATTCACACCTGAATGTTACGCTATGGCAATCGTGAAAATGACTGAAACTACATACAAATCTGGGTCCAAATTGGACCACACATTGGAGGTATAGTATAGTACACTATGTAGTATGGCAAACTCGTTAGTATAACGTGCGGCAATCGCCGCAAACAGTGTACGCACGTACGACAAATATGCGTGCTCGTTTGCACACCATAGCTACCACTATAAGCACAAGTTCGTTTACGCGCCCATGTGTAATGTGTCACAATGTGTATCGCACATCACACTATACCCTCTGATCAAAAAGTTCTCGGAAATTGTAAAAAAAAACACACTCGAATACATTTTTAATGCAAATCTTTATTGTCACCTTCAAAATTACTACCTTTAGAATTAACACATGCTTCCCAACGTTTGATCCATTCATCCATGCACTTGGCATAGGCCGGCGCTATAATTATATATATATTCTTTATTGACGGTTTGACCTTCTGGCAAGAATTCGTAATGGAAAACACCGCGATAATCAAAGAATACCGTCAGCAACACTTTCACTTTCGACCGACTTTGACGTGGTTTTTGGGTTTCGGCTCGTTTTTTTCGCGCCATTCGGATGATAATGTTTTCTTGATGAAAATATCCCCAAAGGCTTTCTGTATCACTCTTTGTTCAGTTTTTTATCCATTGTAAAAAATCGAAAAACGCACTCGGATTGACCAAAACAAACCGCTGTCAAACACATACTAGCTAACATATTGCGCACAATTTTTGCACATATATCGAGGTCGATATTACCAACCAAACAAAAAAAAAAATTTGATCATACGCGAACCGCGCTCGATTTAATTCGCGATTTCCGAGAACTTTTTGATCAGAGGGTATATTGGCGAGTGAACATAGAAACGAACTCATGCTTATGATTTTGAGTTATCGAGCGGTGCGAGCTGACTTTTTTTAACAGTCATATAAATTCGAAATTGTTTTGCCTTCATTTGAATAGGTTTGATTTCGTTTTAATTGGAATTCTTGGCTAACAAAATTGAATCTTGACTGCCGGTTTCCTTCACGGAAACAACTAAAACATCAAATAAAAATAACTTTTTTCTCACCGACACATTAAATGCACATATTGGACACCACTACAATGACAGATTCCTTTGTTCATCTTCGTGTTCATCTGCGTTTGATCAAAATGTATCTGTGTATGCCCACCATAGCTACTATAAGCATGAGTTCGTTTCTATGTTCTCCCGCCGATATATACTGTGATGTGCAAGACACATTGAGACACATTACACATGGGCGCGTAAACGAACTTGTGCTTATAGTATTAGCTATGGTGTGCAAACGAGCACGCATATTCGTCGTACGTGCGTACGCTGTATGCGGCAATTGCCGCACGTTTTACTAACGAGTATGCCATACTACATAGTATACTATACTCAGAGATGGCAAAGCGCACCGAGTTCTCTGAGCAACTTTCGTACTGCTACCCAAATCGAGCGTTGTAAACATGCTCACTGCTTGTACACACAATTCAGACGAACCGCGTTTTGTACTGGGTGCGCTAAGCCGCAATTTTATTCTTTTTACATTCTCCTTTTTCCCCTCTTCCTCACATTTTCTTTTTTCATACTAGCTCCCGTCTCTATATAATAGCTAAGCAGAACTGAAGAATGACGGCATAAAAGAGAATGAAAAACAATACAAACTGTCGGCTACTCGATCCAATAAGAGAGTCAAAGTGCGCACCCGACGCTGATTCAAAATGTGTGTGTGCAAGCTCCAACGTCGATTTGAAGTGTGTGTTCAAACTCAGTGAAAGAAACAGCTCAATTTTGAAATAAAAATTTCGCACTGAGCGTGCGATTGGCTTTCTGACAATACTATACCTCCAATGTATGAATTTGACCGTGAATTTGTGCCTGGTAATGGGTGAATTTGCAATACAATTTGTTCCTTGTATAGGAGACAATATTCGAGAATTTTTGAATAGTTTTCATTCGCTCATTTATTCTCACTTATGTAATCATAAGGAATGGATAGAATAATTGAATAATTGGAATGTAATTTTTAAGTGTTTTTACCCATGCATCTAATGTTGCTGAATTTAAACTGTGTTGCTTCATTGGGAACGAAAATGTAAAACCTAAAGTTTTATGATTGGATCAAATAAAATAAGAAGACCTGTTAAAATTTAAATTATGACTAAAACTATGCCAAACAAAGTTTATTTTCATCTTAACTTACCAAGTGGTAATGGAACTGATACTAAGTCATTTTCCTCAACAAAATCGCACAAACATTGACCAATATGGTCGAATAAAGCCACAGCAACATCTTCACTACCGACACGCAATTCACTACGAATTTCATACATTTTTACCACTTCATTTGTAATTTTTCCATTATCTAGCTCCAAAAGGATTACTCGAAAATTGGTACCACCCAAATCAAGGGCTAAAAATTTTCCATGTTCTATATCACAAAAAGTATATTAAAATTGTATAGTTTATTAGTAAATTTGATTGTTTATTGCGTTTATACACATTTTGTATTATTAATTATTGTTGAGTAAACAAAAATCACCTAGGGGCAGTAGTAGAATAATCATTTTTGTTTAAAGTAATTCTATCCCAAGTCAGTATAATACTCTGTTCGAAGAGTGTACACTAGGGTGTTTCCACATGGAAAATATTAAAAAGTGGCTATTATCATTTTGAAGAGCGTAAAATTCTGTATAAGATCATTTGATTTTCGATGCTGATTGGTCGCCGATGTCACTTCCTGGACTAAAAACACATTTGTAAATTGATTTCATGTCACATTCACGCCAGAATCTGTAATTAATGACATTTTAAGATTGAACAAAATTAAAAACATGCAAAATAATTTTAATATCAATATTATTGCTTAAATATTTAAAAAGTAACACAAAAACTAACAATTTTACCACAATAAACCAAAACAATGCAAAATTGCCAATTCATTTGACACATAACCTGTCATTTGTCATGCGTGAGCGAATCACGCTTCAAATGTCATTCTGTCAAATGAATTGGCGAATTTGCATTGTTTTGGTTTATTGTGGTAAAATTGTGAGTTTTTGTGTTACTTTTATTAATATTTAGGCAATTATTTTGATATTAAAATTATTTTTCATGTTTTTAATTTTGTTCAATCTTATATTTTCATCAATTACAGATTTTGGCGTGAATGCGACATGAAATCAATTTACAAATGTGTTTTTAGTCCAGGAAGTGACATCGGCAACCAATCAGTATCAAAAATCAAATCATCTTATACAGAATTTAACGCTCTTCAAAATGATAATAGCCACTTTTTAATATTTTTCATGTGGAAACACCCTAGTGTACACTCTCTTCTCATTATCTTCGTATAGTTTTATTCGACTCTATTCTCACTCTCTTCTCACACTCTTCTCACTCTTTTGCATAAAAGACGTATATTCAATTCCCACTCCTTCCTTGTGTACTATGCATACACAACAAGTGTACTGTGTTTGATGCAAAAGAGTGAGAAGAGAGTCGAATAAAACTATACGAAGAGAGTGAGAAGAGATTGTACACTCTTTGAAAAGAGTATTATACTGACTTGGGATGTTGTGAGTAGTAATCCATATTAATCCATAGTAATACATTTACGTAAATTCTAACAGCAGTGCAATGACGTTTCATGTGTACGTTGTGTATGACATTTGCTAGGCATAAATCGATTGCCGTATATTTCGGATGAGACATTTTATTGTTAAAAAATGGAAAATAAGGAATTTAATTTAATAAATATCGAATAAATTGTTTCAATCCGCAATATATGACGATCGCTTTATTCTTAGCAAATGTAATACACAACGTACACATGCATGAAACGTCATTGCACTGCTGTTAGAATTTACACAAATGTGTATTACTGCGGATTAATATGGATTACTACTCACAACATAGAATTACTTTAAACAAAAATTATTATTTTAGTACTGCTCTTCCCCTAGAAAATCACTCACCACTTCCATCAGGCAATTCAGGAATGTATGTGTTTTCCATTAGAACTGATGCTTCATTCCATTGTTCATTCAAAGCAAGGTTCATTTCTGTTTCAAATTGTTTGGCAATTCTGTTGAGAGTTGGCTCATTGAAGAAGAGTCCATTGAGCACCTCGTTAATCTAAAAAAAATATCAAAAAGAAATGTGTTGGTGACCTCTTCTTGATAAAGTAGAAAATGTTGTGGTCGAAAGTGTTACACCTTGCCCCAAAGTATATAAATTCATTATTTATCGTCGTTGTTTGCAAAAATATAATTAAAATATTGCGCTCATCATTGGTTTAAGATTTATATAATAAACATAAATCAACAACGACAAAACACATTTTTTTACATTGATAACAAGAGCTCAATAGAAAAATAATCATTGTATCGCCGTAAATTTAATACAGCATACACAGATTGAGTGCGGTGATTAGAATCGGAGAAGCGTCACACACATCGTTTACATATATTTTTTTCTATTTTCAAGGCAAAAATGCAACGAAAACAATAACTATTTAAAATTAATAATGTGCAAACTCAATCATATCTTTCAATTGCTATGTATGCCCTAGGGGCAGAGCAGTACTAGAATAATCATTTTTGTTTAAAGTAATTCTATGTTGTGAGTAGTAATCCATATTAATCCATAGTAATATAGACTTACGTAAATTCTAACAGCAGTGCAATGATGTTTCATGTGTACGTTGTGTATGACATTTGCTAGGCATAAAGCGATCGCTGTATATTTCGGATGAGACATTTTATTGTTAAAAAATGGAAAATATCGAATTTAATTTAATAAATATCGAATAAATTGTTTCAATCCGCAATATACGACGATCGCTTTATTCCTAACAAATGTAATACACAACGTACACATGAAACGTCATTGCACTGCTGTTAGAATTTACACAAGTGTGTATTACTGCGGATTAACAAGGAGAACTGCTTACAATGTAGAATTACTTTAGACTAAAATTATTATTCTAGTACCGCTCTGCCCCTAGTGCATGCCCCCTGCCAAACTTTTAACAATCTTTTTTCTTTTCCTACACGTAGATATAAATACAAGAAATATTCATATTGACATCACAACGCGAGTCATTATCATCTAATTAGAAATTACATTTAATTTTTAATTAGTAGGGGAGGTGGGGGCAGACTGATACATTTTTTTCAATTGAGAATATAAGATATTGGAAAACTTTGGATACCGTTTGAAAGAGGATTGAATACCCTAACTTTCTGCATCATTAGATTTTATATTCTTGCTGTGGCTTATGCCACGAGCCAAAAGTTTGATGTGATAAATTTGGGGGCACAGTGATACAGTGGGGGTACTGTGATACAGGCTGGGGCAGAGTGATACAACTCGATTTTGTGACTTTTTTAGGTGATTTTGTTTCTTATTTTTCTGTTTTTGCGTATGGTATTTAAAGGACACATTTGTTTTTGGTCATAAAATGTTATTTTGATTTGTTTTGGATTCTATTTTACCTTATTTTTGGTTAAAAATGAAAAAAATTGAAGAAAAAGTGATATAAATGTAATTTTTTTTATATGAATGCGAAAATTAGAAAAATAAATCGAGAGCTTATCTTCCATTTTAACTTCGGGATCAGATTCCTCATAATAGTTTGTAATGGCTTCTAAAAAACTAATGATGAACCATTTCTGCCTGGATTGACAAAATTACACGTCTTTCAGTTTGGCCACGTAATTTACGTAAAATAGGTAAATTACGTAATTTATGTCAAAACGTAAAACACTCGAATTATCTGGAAGTTTTTCAAAAACAAAAATTTTTGAAAATTAGATAAATTTGAATATGCTCTATATATGTGTTTTGAATTTGACATAGGCATTAAGTAAGAATAAGAAATTCAATCTTTATTTGAATGAAGCTGCGAAAAACGAGAATTTTGAAGAAAAACTTTGCAATCTTTTCATTTTGAAGCTGCAATTTGATTTAACATTTTGTGTCAGGTCGGATCCACCTACTCCACAAGATCCACTACTTATAATATCATCCCGTTCTCTTCTCATTATATTCCCATATGATATCGAATGAGAGTGAGCGAGGAGAAATAATCTGGACATGAATCTTGTGGAATAGGTGGATCCGACCTGACCCAAAATGTTCTAGAAGTTGAGCACTCGTGGTCCACTCCCTTTATAGGGCCTCAATGGAGGTACCAAATTTTCGTTATTTTTCTCGATTTCCCATCGGAAAAGCGAGAAAAATCGATTTGAAGATTTTTCCAGTTTTCTTTATATAAACTGTGAGAGAAATTCGTAAGATGATAGTTGAACGTTGAAATACAGATTCAAGTCTCATTGAAAGTCTCAAATTTAAGTGTTATCCGGTTTTTCGGATTTTCGGATCTTTTGAACCCAGAAATCATTCCGCTGTGATTTAAACCGATTTCTGGGTTCGAAATATCCAGAAATTTTTCTGTGAGTGTCATCGTTTGTTTTCTACAACATTATATATCAAGCAAGTTCGATATTTTTTGAAAAATGGATAAAATCGAATATCGTGTGGTGATTAAGTTTCTCCCAAAGGAGGTATAGCACCAAAAGATATCAATGACCGCTTATGTGCTGTTTATGGTGGTAATAATGGTTGAATTCCTCCCAAAGAACACTACAGTCACTGGCTATTATTATGCTCAACAAATGCATAGATTGCGTAAAGCAATCAGAGAAAAACGCCCTGGTTTGCTCACTCGAAAACTTCTTCTTTTGCATGACAAAGCACTGTCGCACAAATCATTGCTTGCACAAGCTGCCATCAGGGAATGTGGGTTCGAACAACTCCACCATCCACCGTATTCTCCAGATCTGGCCCCCAGCGACTATTTCCTGTTCACAAACACCAAAAGATATCTTAAGGGGAAGCAATATGAGTCCGAAGAAGAGATATCGAACGATATTTCCAACGTATGGGAGGACAAAGATGCCAAGTGGTTTGAAGGAGGAATTAAAGCATTAAAGCACTTTGAAAAATAAATATAGTCATTTGAAAATACAACGTGTGTTTCTATATCAGGCCCGAAAATTTTTGACACACCTGTATTTGCCAAGTGTGTGGCCTGGCTATTAACAGCGGATTTGAATACAGCAATAGTTTGACATTTTGTGCTACCGTTTTTAAGAAAATTGGGGTGTATCAGTGTGCCCCGTGTATCACTCTGCCTCCATTACCCCTATTTTTTGTAGTTAATTCATAAAACGAATTATATATTTTATAGAAATAGTATGTTATTTATGCTTAATATAATGAAGTGTACTAATAAAATTTATTTCTATAGTATATATTTTTTAGTATAGTATAGTAATAGTAATTAAATATAATACTCACCTTACGATTTTGAACATCGCTTCTATCCAGTAGTGTCACTTGATATTCTTTTTCAAAATCTTGGAATAAATATGACATCTTCACCGAAAGATAATAAAAGTTTGGTGAACGCTAAAAAACTGATATTTTCAACCACCAGAAAATGCACTCGAGTCACTTTAATTTCTCAGCCGTAAGTTCTATCAACAAAAATAAAGAAAAAATTAATATTGCTAATTTAAATTTTCAATTGGTGTAGTTCGTCTGGTTGCTACTGTGTGAAGAAAGCGTTTGAATGTCTCTAATTTTAGTTTTTGTTTGCCGCTTACTTTACAGTTCGGCCAGACCAATCGCGTGAATTGCACTTGTGTTATCAATTACAATGCGAATGAATATATGAAAGAACAAAAATTGATTGACAATAACAATAATGATTTTGCTGTATCCGCTTACATTTCTTGTTTATTCTGATTTTTTTACATTTTTAATTTTTTTTTGCATTCATGCAATATACCCAATTAAAAACTACTATCTTTGATAATTTATTATATGAATCGCTGCGGTGATATGTTTTTGTAATTTATAAAAAAACTCCGCATTAAAAAAAACTTCAGCAACAATCAAAGCTATTTTTCACCGTAACGATTTATATATCTGTCATCTCAAACATGACATGCGGTGAAAATGAATATTCAAGTTCATCTTTAGTTAAAATGAGAAAACAAATTTTCGCAGGAGAAATTGAAGATAAATATTCACATATCTTTGAACATTATTGTTGTATTGGCGCGTAAAATCAGCTGTGAATTACAAAGTAGATGTAGTGTTCATTCTTAATTTCAATTTTAAGATAAAGATCAGACATTAGGCTCGAGCTATGCACATAGCGGCTGCTATTTCATAGACGCTATTTAATTCGTGTGCTGTGTGTAAAACCGAGTAGGGATTCATACCCAAGTCAGTATAATACTCTTTTCGAAGAGTGTACACGCTCTTCTCACACTCTTCGTTTAGTTTTATTCGACTCCCTTCTCACACTCTTCTCACTCTCTTCTCACACTTTTGTATAAAACACGTATATTGAGTGAGAAGAGAGTGTGTAATGGTATTGGTAATGCTATCACTGCTGTCACTGCATTCCAGTGGAAGTAATGTTTGTATTTTGATATTTGAACGTTTATAGCATTCGTCAGGTGTGTCAAAATACAACAGAACGACAATTGCTGTTGCAACATCTAATTCATTTTTTTTGTATACGTTCATTTTTTTCAAAATGTCAAAAATTAACAAAATCAAAAATTATCCATCAGTGGAAAAATTTATTATAAAGAAAAAAAAAGAAAATTTTTCAGAGAAAAAAATTGAAGCTCAGTTAAAAACAATATACGTGTTCTATGCAAAAGTGTGAGAAGAGTGTGAGAAGGGAGTCGAATAAAACTATACAAAGAGTGTGAGAAGAGCGTGTACACTCTTCGAAAAGAGTATTATACTGACTTGGGTAGCCCACTAGTCTTTTGTACATTTGAATGTGAATACGAGAGAGATGTAGAAAATAACTCACAACATGCATAAACTTATTAAAACGAGTTAAATAGCGCCTATGAATAGCGGCTATGAAATGGCAGTCGCTATATCCAAAGCTCAAACCTAATGTCTGATAAAGACACGAAAACGTAGACACAAAAACTTATAACTTTCAATTGTATTTTACGGTACTGATAACAACAAATTACAGTGATCATCATCATCATGTCGGTCAGATTAATATGAATAGGACAAAACACAATGTCAATCGGAATGCATTTTTTAAAGGTCAAGCGCTGGTGCATCCATATTTCTGGAAAAAAATAGTTGAACTTTTATTGAAAACTCCGAAGGGCAATCGCACTTTGAATACTGCAGTTGTGCTGCTCTCTGACATTTATAAGTTCAACCCTATGTAAAGACATTGCTTTCCTCTCCTTCTTCATTTGCAAGAGGCATGTGCGCTATAGCAGCTCAACTTTTAGATACCAGGTGGCAGCACATCTGCGTGTTCGAAACCCAATACATTGCTTTAAATGGAGTGCGAGCAGAGCGTGGAAAACTCGCATAGACACAAATACACTCATTAAATTTCACTTACTATATTATGCCAAAATAAAAATTCAATTGTTTTTTAAAATACAAATTCAACCATACAAGATGAAAGCCATTTGTAAATACACCACACAATAACAAATACGCCACAAATGTTAATGGTGTTTTTTTTTGTTTTTCCAACTCTTACCGGATTAAAATACAGCTCTGTACGCGGTTAGTATTTCAGCAAAAATGGAAGGTCAAATACCCATGTAAGTGGCTGTTTCTAAGCGACTTTTAGGTCGAAATTCGAAAACTTCCGACCGCGCGATAAAATTTGTAACTGACCAGAATGATACCTCTTAGATTTAGATCGCGTCAATAAATTTCCATTTATAAATGTTGCTATCTTTCAATTGTTTCACTAATCTTGTTCAAAACAATTTGTTTCAAATCTCCACATACACGAACAAAGAATTTATGCTTGAGAATTTAATCGAAAAATTCATTGAACAAAGATAAGCAGATTTTTTCGGCAGCTTAGGAATTATCATGTAATTGACACAAATTTGAAGAAGAAAAAACTATTCTTTACTTGATTTTATTTTTATCATTGTCACTGTCTGATTTAATGGAAGAAGGCGAAAAAATATATTTCAATATCAATGTATTTTATATGGAAATGTCGGTCTGTTTACAATATAGATTCAACATCATCATGAAATTTTCATAAACATGTTAATAATCGTCACATACATTCACAAAATTTATTTGGAGTATCAAAATTGATAAATAAACAAATTTCAAAAATATACATCAACGTTGAACCAAAGAGCTCACTACATTTTTATGTTGTACGGTGTTGTTTGAATGTCTCTATCTATCTTTAACAACGGAGCAGAAAACATGTTATACCACTATAATAATAAAGTGAATATGTCAACAACCTGATTACAGATATAATAATAAATTAAGCGTATTTTTTTTGTTGGATTTTTATTTCTTATATTTTTACAATTTGTTTAATTACGGGTTTTCTCAAATAATTATTGAAACATATAATAAATAGCAGTAACATTAACAACAGTATCCATGGCTTGCCGGTCCAAAGAGCTGAGAAGATAATACTTTGATAGATAAAGAAATGAAGAGTGGCGAAGTTTTAGGATAATTTAAAACAAAAAAAAAACAAGGCATGCTAATATTTCATAGGCCAATTGTTCACTCACAATATCATCTCTTATTTTTTCATATTAATCAATTGCGTTCCTTTCAACTTGAATATTTTAAAAAAGAAAATTTATCTCTATTGTTCCTACATATAAAAAATGCGAATACTGTAATGATATAAATGTTTTTATGACATTTTAATTACTACTAAAATTTTAATACCGATTTTTTTTGGAAATGTTGAACGGAAGACTGTGAAAATCAGTGAAATGTGTAACTGGTTTTCACTGATTTTCAATTTCAGCGAAATTCTTAATTTCGTCTTCTTTATGTAGAAAAATGAGCAAAAAAATCACTACAAATATAAAAAATTATATAAATAGGTTTTATTTCATTAATGCAGTTGATGTCATAAGGTTGAGGAGAATTATGTACTTGTTTATTTATGGTTGAATGGGCTCTTTTTCTTGCAGTTTGATTTTTTTAGTTTCTTACAAATTTCTTTTATATCCTTATTTTCAACAATTTTGCATACAACAAAGAATTTAAGCTAGACATGCACGCTTTTACTAGAAAGTTGACGAAATATCGATTTGAACAAAAATTTGCATGTGCCGTTGATTTATTCGGCTGGAACAAGATCGATTAGTACCTGTTATAATAAACCAAACAAAAAATTATACATAAAATGGAGATATCGAGACACTTACAAAGAGAGAAATATTTGAGTACGGTAACTCGGATTTGAGGTGTTAGTAGAGCGTCTACCCCCCAAAATGAGTTACGCACCCTATTTTACTTTATTTTTGGTGTTAATTTCATCCAAGTGAATGCATTTTGAGAGGTAGACGCTCTGCTAACATCGCAAATCTGAGTTACCGTACGCAAATATTTCTCTCTGTGCAAGACTTTAAAAAAAGACGAAAATAATCAACAAAAGCAACCAAATTACCTGTAGTAATTAGGTTTGAAGGGGCCAGCTTTGTTTAAGCCCATGTACTTGGCTTGTTCGTCACTGAGCTCCGTCAAATGCGCGTCGAACGTTGGCAAGTGTAGACTGGCCACATATTCGTCCATTTTTTTTGGCAATAAATAAACGTCGGATTTATATCGTCCGGCTGGCGCATTAAATAATTCGATTAGAGCTAATGCTTGTGTAGCTGATGTAACCGAAACCACAAACGAAGGTATGCTCGAACATGATAAATTTACTAGTCGTCCTTCAGCCAACAAAATAATTCGTTTTTTATCTGGCCAAATGATATGATCAACTTGTGACCGAACTTTTTCCCATATCAATTCCGACGTGCGTAAGCTGTTCACATCAATTTCCGTATTTGAATGTCCCATATTGCATACAATACAACCATTTTTCATTTTATCCATATGGTCGCGTGTAACCACATTTTTGTTACCAGTTGCCGACACAACAATATCCACCACTCGAACAACTTCGTTCAATTTAACCACACGAAAACCATCCATACTCGCTTGTAATGCACAAATCGGATCAATTTCCGTTATATAGACTATACAACCAAGACCTTTTAAAGCTTGTGCGCATCCTTTTCCCACTTCACCGTAACCACAGATTACTATTTGCTTACCACCAAACATCACATCCGTCGATCGTTTTAAACTTTTTTGCAAAAAATTAAGTAGCAATGTAAATGATTAAAATAAAGAAAGGAAAATATATTATAAAAATATTCTTATTTAATTGTTCAACTTAATCGTACCTGTCGATGATACTCTCTTTGCAGCTGTACAAATTATCGAATTTTGTTTTTGTAACTGAATCATTGACATTCATGGCCGGTACCGTCAATTTACCGGCTTTTGATAATTGATATAAACGATGGACACCAGTTACGCTCTCTTCAACAATTCCTTTTACCTAAAGCGACATGAAAAAATGCAATTATATGAATTTATAATTTTTATATATTATGAAATATATATTTTATCAAAAAAGATATTTCTTGAATAAAAAAAACGTTTCCTTTGCAATTCCTCAAAGGAACAATTCCTGATATTTATAAATAGCTTAGGAGCAATGAGAGGCAATGTCATGATTTTTCACAAACGTCGCGAGCGCCCCCATTTCATATGAACAATTCAAATGCAATTTAAAAATTTATTTCCGAACTAAGCTGCGCGCAAAATTTGAAATTCGCTGAAGCTTCCGCCCTCCGTTCAAGAGTAAAGGGATTTTTAGGGGAAACACCACAAAGGGTAGCATCACAAGATCGATCGAGATTTTTTTTTAAGAGAGCAAACAAACTGAGCAATTTTAATCAAAATATTGAGATTATGCCCCTATAAGACCTTGTTCCTATACTTTTAATATATGTGACAATGCGAAAAGAAATATTTTTTCGTCAGTGGCGTCGCCTAACGTGTTGGTTGATAATGACAATGGCAAACCAGTGAATAGCGGTATGTCGAACAATTGTGAAATCATTCGCACCAATACATACTAACACAATGAACTTCGTTTCTGTGTGTCACTTAGTTGCTTGGTGTGTTTTGTGTATTGATGTGAATTGCGACTCAATCACAGTAGACGGCGCAACAAACAAATTTTTTTAACTTTTCTCCAAAAAACGTCAACTGAAAGGTCTTTCTGTTATGCCCCATAAGAGACTGTATAAAATGCAAAACTGTAGCACTGCTAGCGCCACTATGGACAACTATGAAGTTCTAGTCTGTTTGGCGGCAACTTAGTGTAAATTACACTGAATTCCGTCGTGGCGCTAGCAGTTTGACAGTTTGGGTATAATTTCGGTACGCTTACAATCAAAGAGAACGCTCTAAAGTATTTGACTCATATATTTTACTACTACTTAAAAAAGGAATTCCATTTACCAACTTGAAAATGGCCGGATATTTTTTTAACATTAAATGTGTTGCATCACCTCCATCATCTAAAATCATGTTCGGTTGCCAATTTTCGGCATTAACACATTTGTCAATACACCACCAGAAATCCTCTTCAGTTTCGCCACGCCATGCAAAAATTGGAAAGCCACCTTCAGCCAAAGCAGCAGCAACTTCATTCTGTAACGAGAATAGAAATTGTTAAAAAACTATTTTTCAATATTTTAGCTACAAAAACTACCTATTCAACTCAAATTGTTTGTATTAAATAAACACCCTCCATTCCAAAAGTTCCGGAACTTTTTAAAAATAATAAAATGTAAATATGTCAAGATATTGCGTCTTATTCTTTAGTATTGAAAGTGCTCGTATGGACCCAAACTTCTTGAAAATGATCGTTACTGGTGACGAGACGTGGTGTTTTGAATATGAGCCAGAAACAAAGCGTCAAAAATCCGAATGGAGGCGACCAGAAGAAGGCCATTCCACAAAAAGTCGCTTGGAGAAGTCAAAAGTGAAGACAATGCTCATTTGTTTTTACGATTCAAAGGGTATAATTCATAAAGAATTTGTTGCAGCCGGTTAAACAGTAACGGGCAAGTACTACCGTGACGTTTTGAATCGTTTGATCAGAAGATTTTATCGCATTCGGCCTGAATACCGCGAACCAGGCATCTGGTCACTTTTGCACGAAATACTAAATATACTCAAAAGTATTGAAAAGTACTGAAACGTACCGAAACGTATCAAACATACCAAAACGTACCAAATAGGTATTCGTTTCAAAAAAATAGTGAATAATTTTTTCATGTTTTTTACTGTCTTTTTGGTGTTACATGGTAAGCTTGTAATGAAACTCTCGGAGACTCGGTATAATTCACAAAAAAAGTGAAAAAAAAAATTCCGATATTTTTGTGCACTATACCAAGTATCCGAGAGTTTCAAATAAGCCTGCCATGTAGTAGAAGAAAGAGAGTCGGAAAGACGAATTTTTTTTTCAATATTCTCGACTGCCCGAATTTTTTTTTCGTCTTTTTGACTGTCTTTCTGCTGCTACATAGCAACCTTAGATAAAACTCTCACCAGTAATGCTCCCATAGTGTTACTCACCGATTGAACTGGGCATGGTTGCCCTGTTTAGAATATGCTGAGAAAATAAATTTGTGAAAATGAGGGGTGCCCAAGCTCCCAATTGGGGGCAGGGGAGTACCCAACCATGTCAAAACCTCATCGGATCAAAAAATAATGTACTACAAAGTTGTTCAGAATGATGAGAGAAATTTTTCATGACCCCTGCCCTCTAAGTCCCCCCACCCCCCAGGGGGGTCTGGGGTCATAACTCCTTCACCCATGATTCTTTTCACTCGAAACCTCGAAATTCGGAATCAGCATCCCAAATTACCCTAAAAAGATATTTGTCTCGTGCCCATTCACCCCAAGTCTCCCAACAATTCAGAGCCCCCCCATTAGGGTAAAATGATAAAAAGTCGATTTTTCACTTTTTGGGTGCGGAATTTCGCACTCAAATGTATGGCCAACTATAACTAATTTCATCCGCTCATTTCATTTAGGCCATTGCTCATCCCCTCCCATCACTCCCAAGAGGGGTCCCCCTACAAAATTCAAGAAAATTTCGAAAAAAAACCGAAATTGGGTCCATACCCCATCTAACCCCAAAATTAATTACATATTCGGATTCCTCGTAAAAAATTACCTATAGGCTCCATACATTGTCAATTTCTCTTGACCTACAATTTACTCCATCTAGCTTGAACCTTCGATTCGGGTCGAAAAGTGAAAATACCCCATTTCATTGTAACTTCACAATGGAATATTCACCCCTTATGACTCAAAGGGGCATACGTCTCTTCCCATGAAAGTTACGCATACCAATGTAGTTTCCATTGGCATATAGTTTTGGCCGCCCTGAATGACCCAGTTCGGAGGGCGGGGGTCAAAATAATATAAAAATGAACCCTTGCCCTGGTCAGAGACTTTGTATAGTGCACAAAAATATCGAATTTTTTTTTCCATTATTACGAAAAAATTATTCGCTATTTTTTTGAAACGAATACCTATTTGGTACGTTTTGGTATGTTTTGATACGTTTCGGTACTTTTCAATACTTCTAAGTATATTTAGTATTTCAGTACCGATTTTCCCCTTGGACTATTTCCTGTTCCCAAAACTCCATTTAAAGATGAAAGGAAAGAGAAATTTATCAATTGAACGCATACAAAAAGCTGTCACCGACATCTTAATGAAGGTTCCTACAAAGGCAATCTCCGAATCATTTGACAAATTGATTGAACGTGCAAATAAGTGTATCGAAGCGAATGGAGAGTATATTGATTAATAAAAATTTTTATCTCAAAATGTACACTGGGTGTTTTTATTTTTAAAAAGTTCCGGAACTTTTGGAATGGAGGGTGAATAAAAAAAGATTTAATATACCCAGAGAGAATTATTTGAGTACGGTAACTCGCACTTGCGGTGTTAGCCATAGTAAAACCATTAATGATGCTAATTTGACAATTTGTATGATTCATTTGATTGAGTGTGATTTACATGATTCAAAGTTTTATAATTCGTGTCTACCCCCTAGGTAACACATTTTGCGGGGTAGATGCTCTGCTAACACCGCAAGTGTGAGTCACCGTACTCAAACATTTCTCTCTGTGTAAACAAAACAGAAACCCGTGAACAAATTTTTACCTGTGTTGAGTATATATTGCATGCGGCCCATCTAACCGAGGCACCAAGTTCGACAAGTGTCTCAATTAAAACGGCAGTTTGTGCATTTATATGTGTACAACCTACAATTTTTGCATTTTTCAAAGGTTTATCATCACGAGCACGTTTGCGTAATGCCATAATGCCAGGCATTTCTATAAAAAAAGCAATATAATATATACAATATTAAAATTATTGACATTATTATTACCTTGTTCAGCAATGTCAATTTCACGACGTCCAAAGGCATGTTGATTAATACTTCGTACGCAAAAGTCATAACTTCCCTTTGAATTTAGCTGAGTTTTTTCACGCGGAGAAATATCATCATCCTCAGAACTACTGCCAGTGTACGAAGCTGTAAATAGTTTAATTAAATGTAACAAAAAGAAACATTAACTGAAATTGATGATTAGTTAAAGTAAAATTTCAATTAAGATTCTTGTAAAACAAAGAATGTGAAGTCTACAAATTGTTGTATTAATTATTTTATATTTACTTCAGCACGGATGATTATACTCAATTGTTATACCAGAGTTTTGCTGATTAAAACTTTTAAACGTACTTTTTTTTAAACAAAAAATGTGCGACGATGGTGACGCCATCCTAGTCTCTTCATCTCTTTGTTATGTGTGATACATTCCCTTCCATTCCCCATTTAGTTTTCGTATGGCTACACGATCGTCGCGCACAACTCTCGTACTTACCCGAACTGAATGAATCGGTCGATGATGCCGACAAGCTTCGGCTACGATAACGGCTCGTTTTTTTTAGTGCCCCTGATTTGGTTTCCTATCGGTTAGTTGAAATAAGAAGAAAAATCCAAAACGATTAATACTATGGCATGCATTAAATACATATTTATTGCATTTTTTCAACACAACACATTCAAATGACTTAAATCTTATGCAAATTGTACCAAAAATAAGAAAACATATCATCATGTACACACAATCTATTTTTGCTGTATGGGTTACAGCAAAACTTAGCTATCAGACGCGATACAGTATTTTATTGTAATTTTAATCAAAATTAGAATATTTTGCTGTAAGATATTTTAATTTTTATTTAAATTCAATAAAATTGTTCGAAAAAGAATGAATGCGCTTTACTCACCAGTAATGCTCCCATAGTGTTACTCACCGATTGAACTGGGCATGGTTGCCCTGTTTAGAATATGCTGAGAAAATAAATTTGTGAAAATGAGGGGTGCCCAAGCTCCCAATTGGGGGCAGGGGAGTACCCAACCATGTCAAAACCTCATCGGATCAAAAAATAATGTACTACAAAGTTGTTCAGAATGATGAGAGAAATTTTTTATGACCCCTGCCCTCCAAGTCCCCCCACCCCCCAGGGGGGTCTGGGGTCATAACTCCTTCACCCATGATTCTTTTCACTCGAAACCTCGAAATTCGGAATCAGCATCCCAAATTACCCTAAAAAGATATTCGTCTCGAGCCCACAAGATCTCTAATACAGTAGCTTTTTTATATGAAATCTGTCATACTAACGCCCTCACTTTATCTTTTGGCGAACTAAACAGAATAAAGTTTAATATAAAAGTAAAGTCTCCATCAGGATATTTTATACAGCCGGTGTCAAGATCAATAAAACTGTTAATAGAATCTGCCATTTTTACGCAATTTTGCGATGTGATTGCGAGATTAAGAATATAAATAAAATAAATGAACGGAATAAACGAACTTAACAGAACAAAATAATTCGCACGAGTGTATGACAAGTATGTAAGAGAACAATAACATTACGTTTTGTATCTATCTGTCAAATGTCACAATCACACTTATGAGTTTACGTATGGAGATTTTAACAATATCATTTCTACAAGATCTACAAACTCTACACCCGAGGCTTTTTAAGTTAAATTAAAACGCATATAATTTTTTTTTTTAAATAGAAATTATCTAATGCTAATTGTGCTAACTTCATTTTCAAAACAAAAAAATGAAACAATTTATTAAATTATTTTTCAACAATTTTTGGAATAACATATGCGCTCATTCTCAAACTTGTGAAATAATATCCCATTCTATATATAGATGGCACTGTCTATACGAAGTTCGGCAAACAACGCATTACGCTTATTGAGCGCATTACACCTCTTTTGGGCACCCCTCATTTTCACAAATTTATTTTATCAGCATATTCTAAACAGGGCAACCATGCCCAGTTCAATCGGTGAGTAACACTATGGGAGCATTACTGGTCAGAGAAATTGAACAGTGTGTTGTGTATTTCGCCCATTTTTAAATGGGCGAAATACACAACAAACATTTTTGTTTACACTGTTCAATTTCTCTGAGTAAAGCGCATTCACAGCAATGAAACGACAACAACAATAACACATATTTTTACTGTCAAAATGTTGATGTCAAATGGTGTCGACATTGGTGACGGTATTTTGAAACAGACTGTGTAATCCATATTCATGTCACTAGCGTGGACATGGACTGTGTGTTTCTTCTGTTACATGTACGTTGTAATGGACAAGTATAGTAACATGGCGTCGTTCAAATAAATTTAAAAATCCGTCCACTCGTGTCGACACCATCTAGCACGGTAGTAGGGATTTCATTGCTGTGAGCGCATTCATTCTTTTTTAAACAATTTTATTGAATTTAAATAAAAATTAAAATATCTTACAGCAAAATATTGTAATTTTGATTAAAATTCCAATAAAATACTGTATCGCGTCTGATAGCTAAGTTTTGCTGTAACCCATACAGCAAAAATAGATTGTGTGTAGACCAAAAAATGTAATGATACAGTAGTATAAATTTTAGTTCAGATTTTTTCCGCTCAAATATTTAGGTGCTTAACATATATCACTTTGGCATTTGAGCGGAAAAAATGCATACTAAAATTTATCCTAAAAACGGTTGAGTCTTCGTGTAAATTGAGTTTTATGTCAATTTTTGTTCATATTGAGGTTAGTTGTCATTTGTGTGTATGAATGACTGACAAACGGTGGGGGATGTAATTGCCAAAGCGCGACGATGACAAGCAACGTTGACAGTAGCGCCATGGTGCGGTTGCCAGCAAAACTAAAAAATTGAACAAATTTCGATCGCCTGAATCAAAAATGGTACAAATTTGTGCCACCCAACATAAACAGTGACAACCATAATGAAGTTGCTGCGTTGCCCAGCTGTCATTGTCGTCGTGCTTTGGTAATTGCAGCATATTTTTTTGTGTTTTATATACACAGAGTTTGTATAGTCGGTAAAGTTTATTCAACAAATAGTCTCTTTTGAAAAACATGTCTCATAGATCTAGAAAATGGTAAATCTAATTCATTTTAAATTGATTTTATATTGAATCAAATTAAAAACCTCTATCGAGGTGAAGAATGAGTGACGAAACCAAAATGTGAAACACAAAATTTCTGATATCAATTTTGTGACGAAAATAGTTGGTAGATATATTTTCTGTGTACTGTGAATATAAACTTAATATACATTTGTATAATCAAAACGTTGCAGAAATTTCCCCCTTTTTACTGACGCAATGAAGTAACGTTCCGAATTTACAAATGTATATTAAGTTTATATTCACAGTACACAGAAAATATATCTACCAACTATTTTCGTCACAAAATTGATATCAGAAATTTTGTGTTTCACTTTTTGGTTTCGTTACTCGTTCTTCACCTCGATAGAGGTTTTTTATTTGATATCAATAGTTTCGTAAGCGCTATTTTCAATGTTAAAGATTCAAGAAACATGAATTTCAATCTTTTTCAAATACAATGAAAATATGGATTTTTAGGTTATTTTTGGATCAAAATGATATAAATCATGGTTCATAATGAGGAACATTGCTTCTCTTCAGTGGCGCGTGATATGCACATTTCTTTATCTTTGACTTGGGGCTTAAATTGATGAAATTTTCAACAGAAACTATGCAGTATTTTTCGGAAAAATGCCTGTTATGTGTCCGACCAGCCGTACAATTTTTGGTTTTTGGCCAATTTGGCATGAAATTTTTAATTCGCAATTGGCATTATTTTTCACTATCGAAGGGCATATCTTGAAAACAAGAATTTTCTGGGATATGAGCTATGCGGCGTTTTATAGCTTAGATTTAGGCCTAAAATCGGTGAAATTTTCAATACACCAAGTAAGGCTTGTTTTCGAGGTAATAGCTGTTTCAAAAAGATCAGAATCGAGTACGCAAAATCGCGGACAGACAGACATTTTGATTTTTCATAAAAATTCATATGAAATTTTTAAAATAATAAATTTTTCGGACGGATTAACCGATTTTGACGTTTGAGGTAACGTTGGAAAGGTATTGAGCTCTAGAATAATAATATCGATGTTTCAGAGGTCAATGACCTCATTTAGTGCCGTCTATGGTCATGAAACTGAATTTAGACCCTTTTCTTGAAAGGACCATATTTTGAAGACAGGTGGACCGATTTTCAAACTTTTATATTTTTTCTTGATCTATGGCCCAACAGCTTTCCAACCATACATCAACCGGGGTCAATGGCCTTCTAGGTATGGATTTCGTAAAATTAATAAAACTAATGTGGTTTCGTCACTCGTGCGAACTGCCGTCCGCTGTGATCTATCAAAATTGAATTAAATATACCGCATTTTTTCTCTCTGTGTATAGTTTCTGATATAGGCATTATATGACATTATAACTCAGTATACATCTCTTTTGCAAAGAAACCGTAGCGGTGCAGTGGAGGGCGCGTAATGGAACTACGTGCCCATCACATTTACAGAACTTTTGGCAACACTGTTCGTAGTGTTTTGACATTTCATGAAATGTGACATTAATGTTCGTTCATTTGAACCGTGTTTGAGTTTTTGAAATAAAATGATGAAATTCTAATTTATTATTGTGAGTTTGATATATATTTTATTATTAAAATAAAATAACAGTGAAAAAAATGTGTGAAAACATATGTAAGTATTGAAAATTTCAAAAAAATTAGTTTAAATTTCTTGAATTGAATTGGTAAAATTTCTTATTATTTACAAGGTGCGTTGTTCTTTAAGGAGTCAGTCAAAAATATATTTCTTTTTACTACATGTGTTTGTTATGAGTATCTCTGAGCGGTGCAATGTGAGTGTGTAAATGTGTTACGGCTGGAACAAAAATGTGCTAGCGGTGGCACAAGTGTATTTACTGGACCGTAATCGACAGAACGGATAACTAACTTTCAATAATTCTGAGGAAAACTCAATAATATTTTTTAAAAATATTGAACTTAATGACGCTTAATGAAGTAATAAAAAAGAAATATATTTTTGACTGACTCCTTAAAGAACAGCGCACCTTGTAAATAATAAGAAATTTTACCAATTCAATTCAAGAAATTTACCTTGTCTTTTTGAAATTTTCAACACTTACAAATTTTCAACATTTGAACACATTTTTTTCACTGTTATTTTATCATAATAATAAAATACATATAAAAACTCACAATAATAAATTAGAATTTCAAAAACTCAAACACGGTTCATATCAACAAACATTAATGTCACATTTCATGAAATATCAAAACACTAATAACAGTGTTGCCAAAAGTACTGTAAATGTGATGGCGCCACCAGTACTAAAATACTACACTGCGCTAGGACGAAAGAAACAAAATAATAAGTTATTTTTTCATACGTTACGAATAAAGTTCATTGATGTGTTAGTGATATTCCTTTTCATAATTCCCTTTGAAAACATATTTATGACTCTATGCAACATAAAGAATCAGTTCATTTTGGAGAAGTTGTTCACAATGGCATATATTATATGTATTCACA